ACATAATTTCTCATGTCCAAATTCGCAAAAAAGTAGCGAATTTATCAGGTCAAATCGGGCTTTTTTATATAGCTTCTTTCTATAAAAAGTTTGTTTTCATATTGTTATATGACTCGTATTTTTTCTATATTATTAACTAGTTTAAGTCCCGTGAAATGCACGGTTTTTACTTAGCATATTTATAAATTATAATGTTAATTAATAATAATTAAAAATAATAAAAATTAATATTTTTAATTGAAACAATACTTGATTTTCTTTTCCATTGAATTTTATATTATATTGATATCAAAAGTTATTTTAAAAAAAGAAGCAATATTTAATGATTATAGGGTTTTATATAAGATTAAAATGTTACTTCCTCCGTTCTTTTTTACTTGACCCGCTTTGACTTTTACACTATTCACCACCCCTCCTTTGACTGTTTTTTGTGAATAATATGTAAGAAAAATTATATTCATATGATATCTTTTTTAATTCGTCTCAATAAGTACTGTCGTAATATACAACTTTTATAATTTTTACTTATGAATAATTAAAGTTATTGATCACTATAGTTTTGCATTGGCAAGCGTGATAAAAGAAACAGGTCAAGTAAAAAAGAACAGAGGAAGTATGTTAATTATAACCCGTGAAATGTATTTATGTACCCCATATATCCAATAAATCAACAATTCTAAAAAAAAATATAAATAATAAATAAAAGGAAATGTAACAATCCCGGTTGGAGCAAAAAATCTTTCAAAGGAAAAAAAAATATGACGTAGAATGATATGAACTATGGAAAACTGGAGTTTTACATTATTCCAATATTCCTTATATTACCTTATATGTAGTATATGTTTGTTTGATATAGAAAAATACCTATTATAAAATATTATATGTCAAAATATTTTCATTGATTAAATGCATATAGAATATACTTTATATATAGTTGTCAAATTGAAAGTTAAATATTATAGGATATTATAAAATAATGTTCATAAATATTGTTAAAAAAAGGAAAGTAAAAGTGGCGGGAATTTTTTTAATCAAAACATGACAAATGTCATATCAGATTCGCCTTAAGTATTATGTTATTGATTCATCTTCGAGAAATATAATTTCATGTTCTATGAAATTCAAAATTCCTTATAAGCGCGGACGGGTAAATAACTTTTCTTGTAAGCTTTATTAGTACACACGGTACTAGAATCAAACTTAAATTTTGGAACACTCATATAGGCCTAAAACAACTCGCTTTTACACCCCTCACTTTAATTTTAAAGGTTTAGACATAAAGCCAATTGAATTTGTTTAACTATAAACAATAAACATAGACATAAGGAGTCTTTAATTGCATCAATCCCTCTCTTTAAAAAATTTCCCGTTTGAAATTTGTTTCCAAAGACGAGAACCAAATCACTGGCACATAAAACTAAAAAACAAAGGAACTATTGAAAACTACAGCATAATACTAAAATTTGTTATATACATCCGAGTGTACTGTACACCCAGGATCATTTGCTCGTTTGATCAACAAATGAGCAAATATTTGTTTATTAAAGGAGCAAAAAGCAACTTTTTGGTGCAACAGACCTGTAAACACAAATTTTAAATCTGCAAAATATAGATTCAAAATAAATAAAACAAAGTGTAAATTTTATTAATTTGATAATTTTGGGTACAATCTCTAATTTGCTCCTCTAATTCGATCGCCACTTTGACTTTGACGTAATTCACGAAACGAATTGAAACGATGAAGCACGTAGAAGAAATGATGACAAAAGACGGTGCACAAGACGACATCGTCAATGTCATGGCAATCGAAGCAAACACCGTCAAGGAAGAGTTATCAAAATAGTCAAATTAGCATCAAGTCAATAAATTGACTTTTGACCCATATATTATCCAATGTGGCACTTATATAAATATTCCGTGCCAACAAGGCCATACCGTATGGCAAGGGTTTACCCGAGTTATTTTGTTAGGGATTGCCCGAGTTATTCAGTTAGGGGTTATTCGGTCAGAGGTTACTTGAGGGGTTCAGACAGAGGTTACTCGAGGGGTTCACTTGGTCAAGGGTTACTTGAGGGGTTAACTCGGTCAAGGGTAATTTGGTCAAGGGTTACTCGAGTAATTCGGTTACAAGGTCAGGGGTTACTTGAGAGCTCAGTCGGGGGTTACTTAAGGAGTTCAGTCAAAAGGTTACTCGGTCAGGGGTTACTTGAGGGTTCAGTTGGGGTACTCAGTTAGGGGTTATTTGAGGAGTTACTCGCTCAGGGGGGTTACTTGAGGGGTTACTTGGTCAGGAGTAACTCGAGTAACCCATGATCGAAAAACTCGAGTAACCCTGGCAATTCGAGTAACCCCTGATCGAGCAACTCGAGTAACTGACTAAGTAACCCCTGTTGCACAGTACAATAGACCACATGCAAAAAAATTTGAAAAATTTGCTCATTTAATCAACAAATTAGTGAGTGGCCCGAGCGATGTCCCAGATTGCTAGCTTGTACTTGTTTAGTTTGCTAATCAAGTCCGATTGTTTTTGTTTGTTTCTTTTTTTAGGCAAAGGGACTGTTTTTTTTTCTTAATGTCATGATAATCATCTTGAAATTCATCATAAGTCAAAAAAAGATTTGTAACGAGAACCATATTCAATATATGACATGCTATGAAATATTTATAGACATTCAAAATTGACTATTAGAAAATAATAATTATTCCGTATATTTCATCAATTTGAAAAATGATACAGAGTTTTTCAAACTTCAGAATTTATGTTGTTAATTCGTCTTATGACCATTACATAATGAAAATAAATAGTATAATAAAACACTAATTATTTATCTAAGTTAACTATAATTTTGTTGGACTGAAAAACACAATAAATAAATGTAGCTAAGATAATAAGACTTGTTGGTTTCAAGTTCAAGCCTTACTATAAACATTTTTTAGTTGTCAAATCCAATCATTACATAATGGAATCAATTGGTATAATAAAATACTAATCTTATCTAATTTAACTATAAATTGGAAAAAAAAAACCACAATAAACAAATGGCTAAGATGGTAAGATTTGTAACTTAAGACTTGTTGGTCTTAACTTCAAGTTAAAGGTATTATTTTGACATGAAAAATTAGATTAATAATTTATTTTAGATATAAAAAATTTACTCGCCACCGAAGCAAAAGTCAAGCATGAGAATTACGAATTTTGCCACATAGGTAAAAACAACGAATAGTGAATAATTAGAATTTAACTTATTTATAAAACTAATAATTATCTCTTTTTTTTACATATATGATGGAAATCTTTGATCGCAAATATCTTTAATCTTTTCCTAGCAAATATTATAAAAATTAGATCTTAATAATCTACTCATCGATACGAATAAAACTTAATCTCATATGACTATAATTGTCCTTATATATAGAGAGAAATATTCTCCCTAATTTAATTTTTAATAGTTAAAAGATTCTAAATGGGACTAACATTTTGAAACAGAATGAGTATATGAAAAAAACGCAAGTGCAAAGGACTTATTTTAACCAATAAAAAAAATTGTCATTTATTTTTGAATTATAATTTAAATTGTCACCTAAGCAAAATTAATAAATAAGGTTTGGGATTTTATATTCAAGCTCCACGTAAAATACTACCTCCGTTTCATAAAATCTGCAACAATTTCTTAAAAGGGAAACTACACATTATGTGCAACAAAAAAAAAACTTCCCTAGTATAGTAAAATTCTTTGTTTAAATTTACCAACATACCCTTACTTAACTTCAATAAACCACCTATTAACTTATTAACCTAAATTAATTTATTCATAATTAAACCCTAACCCATATTCTCTTTCCTCCCTCATAGCCCACATCCACCACCAACATCACCAACTTTTCTCTCTCCACCCTCTCAACCACCAGAAACACACTTTTTTCTCTTATCCCTCTCAAGAGTCTCAACCACCAGAAATACAGTCCACCACCACCACTCAGATCAGCGCCACCTCGTGACAGTCGCCGCCCCTTACTCGCGACACTCGCTGGCACGAGCTAATCGAAAATTCAGATCAAAGTCGCCGGCTTCTTGCTTCCCTTATCAAAGTCGTCGGTCCTCCTTGAAATTCAGATCTAATCGAAAATTGTGATGGGGTTTCGGATCGGACTTGTTTCCCTTATCTAAGTTGCCGGTCCTCCTTCAAATTCAGACCTAAGTGATAATGGTGATGGGGTAATTAGGTGGGTTGGGGTTTTTGGTGGTTGCGACTTAGGTGGGGTGGGGTTTTTTCGGATCTTGGTGGTGGTGCGTGAGAACGTGGGGGGAGTTTTGGTGTTTTCGGATCTTGTGGTGGTGCGTGAGGAGTTGTGTTACACGGTGGGTTTTTGGTGGTTGTGAGTTGGGTAGGGTGGGTTTTGGGCATGGTTCGGATCTTGTGGTGGTGAGAGGGTGGTCGAATGTGTTGAAGGTGGTCCTGCGGTGGTTGTGTTGGTGGCGGTAGGGTGGTCGGATTTGTCAAAGCCTCAAAGGTGATGTTACTGGTGGAGAATGTGGGTGTTGGCGGTGCTAGGGTGGGCAGTTTGGTGGGTGGCTTGGTGGGAGCAAAGGTTTTGGTTGTTGGTGGGTGGCTTAATCAAATTATCCCACTTTTTTTATTAACCCTTAATAACCTACCCTTACTTTTGTTAAACTACATTTATCAAATTTTGTCTTGGGAAACGTAAATCCTAGTTTGTTGCAGATTTTATGAAACGGAGGTAGTAAATGAAACAACGAAATATAAATTTAGTGTTAAGATTTTTTTTAAAAAAACTGATAATACTAAGAATTTTATCCAAATATCTAATGACTGATCTTGAATTAAATAAAATAATTTACTACTTATGCACGGTCTTACATAGTTACATCTAGTAATAAAGTACGGAATATAAATGAGCAATTATACGGTACATCCGGATGTACAGGACAAGTTCTCGCATAATACAGATTATAGAATGTATGGGATTACAGTGGCGCGTCCAAATGTTAACTGTCTAACAGACGCTCAAGGCTCAACCTTGAGTCCTTGAACATTGTTCCCGCCCAAAATTTGAAAATTTTATTTTTATTCGTTTCAAAATTTCGGATTTATAAAATTGAAGATTATTTTGGCGCTGAACAACAATCAATCATCAGATGCTGCGAACTTTTCCAAATTTGAAGCCTTTATTACTGTCAGTTCTCTTTTTTTATTGCATCCCAATTCTAATTTTGTTTTCCTCAATTGGGTATTTCTTTCAAACCCTAACCCTAATTTTTAATTTTAATTGTACCCTCTAATTTCAGCTGTTTCAGGCAGCAGGCAATTGCAAGGCGATCATTGATTCAGTATAACAGTGTTAAATTTCAGTTGAATTGTTCAATTTTTGCTACAAAAATGGAGAATGATTCTTCCAAGAAAATTGAAGTTTCTGCCCTAAACCCCAATTTACAATCAAGAGGTGCTTTGGTTGTATTAGAAGGGTTAGATCGAAGTGGAAAGAGCTCTCAGTGTAGTCAGCTTCTCTCTCACTTGCAAAGTATTGGGTGTTCTGCTGAGTTATGGCGGTTTCCGGATCGAAATACTGCTGTTGGGCAGATGATTTCTGCTTATCTTTCCAATCAATCTAATTTGGATGATCATACTATTCATCTTTTGTTCAGTGCTAATCGTTGGGAGAAAAGGTTGCTTCTTTTTTCTTTTTATGATTGTTTTTTTATATATAATTTGTGAGTTGCATACCATGTGTTTGATGTTATGTTTAGCTGAATCTAATTCCTTTCTATGTTGTTATTTATTGGTTAATTTGGGTAATTCGTTCTCGGTTATATTACATTCTGGAGATTGTAGTTGGAATTATGATAGATTACTTTTAAAAAACTGTCTTTATTCCCCTGAGATTTTGAAATATATACAAGTATATTGGGACAGGAGTTCAGAATGTGATTTAAAGTTGTAAACTTTACTTCTTCATGAATCTGTTTTTTTGGTGATATGCTTGTTTAGTTGTTGACTTTGTCATCTACAATTACAGATCCATGATAGAAGAAAAGTTGAAATCTGGGACTACCCTCATTATAGATCGTTATTCATACTCCGGTGTGGCTTTCTCTTCTGCCAAAGGCCTTGATTTTGATTGGTGTAAGGTAAAATGTTATCACCACAATCTCTGTTTAAGTGACTGTTGAATGTTCTATAAAATTGGTTACTGACTTTTCATAATCCCATGACTTGTGAAAGTGTAAGGATTAAAAGTATTGTTTAACTCTTTTGGTTTGGTAACAATGGCATTCTATGAAGCATTATGTAAAGAGAGAATGGCTGATATAAGGAAATAATATACAGTAATTACAGTTGTTGAAAACTCATCTTCGAGTGAGTGTGATGTATGTTGACAACTTGCTTTGAAGATTCCAACTCTTAGTAATCAACCAGTTCACTCAGGCATATCTCTATTTAGTCGCAATATGATCATAATTCTCTTTGTGCAGGCACCAGAGATAGGATTGCTGGCTCCAGACATGGTCTTATACCTTGATATATCACCAGAGGTATACTTTCATTCAAATAGGCATGATGGGAATTTTGCCTTTAGTTTCACTGATAAGAATTTATGGGGCGTACCATTTCTTTGGTAAGATCTGAGACATGGCTGTTAAACCAAATCTTAGTTTTTTCATAGCTTGCATCAGACTGTACAATTTTAATGCACTAAATTGAATAAGTATGCCAATTGCTTTACTGCTGTATAACTTTCCATCTTTATCATGGTCCTTAGTTGAAAGAAGGTTATACAATTAACAAATAATTAATAATATATTTGAAAAAAAAATTCAAGGCGCATCTTATTGTTATATCTGTAAAGGCAAGTCATATTCCACCAAATCTTAAAAATTCAGATCAAAGCATATCCTAATATCTTTTTTTTATAAATGCAGAAAGCTGCAGAAAGAGGTGGTTATGGTGATGAAAGATACGAGCGTCTTGATTTTCAAGGGAAGGTCAGAGAAAAATACCAGGCTCTTCATGATGCCTCATGGAAGGTAATTTCTATTCATGATTCCTTAAAAACTTATAGCTTGCAATGTTTATTTTTGCGATTTTGGTAAGGCTGTAAGGTTAATAGGTTTGACAGTGGTGACTTTATCTTGCATAGTGTCATTATAGTGATGCACTGATGCCTGCAATATTATGCAGTGCAGGTTATTCTAATTTTCTTTTACTTAAACATGTTCCAGTTTCTTTCAAACATAGTTTTCTGAAAGTAATTATTGTCAGAAAATATTTGTTAACATGTTTAGCAGCTTCCTCTTCTTTCTCTATCTGTCCAAAATTTTCTTCTTGTACGAGTGTTCTTTTTATTTTTGTAAATTACGTTTTTTAAATAGTTTCTGTGAGATAGCTGCTGTTTCATCAAATTCCGTAATACTGCCATCTAGATTTTCATACGATGCTGAATGATAACAGATGGTTGATGCCTGCTTGCCAATGGAAGAAGTCCAGAAGAAGCTCAGAGAATATGTGCTTGAGTGTGTTGCGGCCTGCAAAAATGGAAAGGCTCTTTCTCACCTCTGGTCACAATAAGCAAGCTGCCATATGCCTCTTGCTCGCTTGGGCGAAAATGTATACTATAGTCAGTACTCAGTAGTTGCGTTTTGAACTCTTGGTTGAGGTGCTTCTACCTTTAAGTTTAAGTCTAGAAGTTGGAGTTGTATTATACTTTGCTTAAGGTAAATTTGCTTTAAATTCCTGTAATTGCTAGTGACATGGTCTTAACTTTTGCAAAACCAATAGTAAATGGGTATATTGTAAACAAAAAGTCCTTTGTGAAGTTAATTTTTTGATGACTTGGCCAAGTGTGACGGTCTAAGAGTGACTAAGCATGTCATATAAAATACATCCGTTGTATACAAGACCTATTATTTAAAACGCACATAAAATTATACTTTATTCCACATATTTACTTTGTACTTTGTTTTTCCAAATATGCTGATGAGGGGACCATCCATTTTCTCACCTTTCCTAGGTTAACACTGGAAAGTTGAGATGCATGTTAGGGATTTTGGCCATTTTGCTTAGACTAAAACTATCCTAAGACTTTGTCTAAGACTTTGCTTAGACATGCGTCATGGGAAGATCATTTACAAGATGCAAATTACGCCTTGTGTATACCCTTTTTTTTTTTTTTTTGTTTTTCTTTTTTTTCCCACCTGGTTCACCCTTTTTGGCTAGTTTGAAATCGGAGATCAGTTTTGGGTAAAACTTTGTCTGGTCGTATAATTGAGCTAATAATGTGAACTAAATTTAGATAAAGTTTAGCTATATAGATTTTGAACTATCAACTTATATCTCACTTTGTGTGCTCAAATATTAACCAAAGTAATTTATGAAACTAATACAATAACGGATTTTATTCAAAGTTTCTCATTGCATTTGTACTCCCCCTAACTATATCTCAAATCCATTGTTTCTTTAGAAAGGGATCCATTCATAAGTTTGTAAAAATAAATGGTTAAGAAGTAACTCCATTTCAAACGAAATCTATTTCTTGGAATAAATTTTCTTCCATATGAAAATAAAATTAAACGTGCATTTCACCATGTTTTTGCATGTGTTCGTCGAATTTTGTGTGGTTGGTATGTATCAAACATGAATACAATAGGTGCCTTAGGTGGCTACTTTACTCGGCATATCTACTTCTCATAATTTCACTTGTAGAATCTATTGAGAAAACTTGTACTTTCTCATAAAATATCTGACTCACAATTTTAATACTTCATAGTAAAGTGTTAAAGTGAACGAAAAGAGTGTCACAATATTTCCACAAATGACTTTCACACTTAAAGGCATTCATAAACAAATGGACCAAAATAACCTTTAAGTGCAAGCTATGTGGGACTAATTTCTGATGGCAGAATAGTCCATCTACATAAGTTAGCAGTCATATTTCTCAAATTCAGTACTTAAGATGCTTCCCTCAACAAAAGCATGGTGAATTAAGAAACCACTCTCTCAACTTTGCTTATACTTAGACAACTTAGTACTTTGTATGGACATTCATAAGAAGTGAGAAGGAGAGACAAACACTTGGAATCAAGAAGCCGATTAATTCTTCTGAGGATAGCAATGTCTTCCACAGGTAAGGTCTTCTTTCTTTTTCATATGTATGATCTTATTCTTAAAGCTTGATTGAATAGATTGTATGTAATAACATATGAATAATCATACCGTGAACCAAAATGTTATAATAAACTCACTGTAGGTACGCGTATAATAATATTGAAGACTCGCGCTAGAATGATGCATGATCATTGCTAATTAGGCAGCTTACAAAAACTTCTTAAAGAAGTACATAATTTTAATAACAAATGTTGTGTTTTCTATCTACTAAACAACACTTTTTTTTTTTTTTTTTAACATACATGATACACTGGTTCAATATTTCTTGTGAAATTGTATGACATTTTGTTGGTCGCAGAAGGAAAGATCCATCTATGATTTATTTGCAAACACAGTTTTTGTTCTGGTCTTGATTTAATCTGTTGTCTTTATAATGTAGTTTGATTGTGTACTTTCTATATTCTTAGTCGATCACATACTATATTTTGATCAAACAATTGCAGGTAAACATGAGCCCCCCATTTTCAAGAATAAGCTGCAAGAATACACTCAAAAACGAGCTCTGCCATTCCCATCATATCGAACAGCCAACGAGGGATTTCAGCACGCACCAATGTTCAGGTCAACTGTGTTTGTTGAAGGAGTGGAGTATACATCTAAGCAGACATTTCGCCGTCTCAAAGAAGCTGAACAAGATGCAGCAAAACTTGCTTATGAGTGTATTTTATGCAATGAACAGCAGCTTGATGCCAAACCCCTGCTTCATGAGGTGTGTTATAAGCAAATTCTTAGACACTAGCCCTTAATATTTTATATGATTGAAAAGGAGATGAAGGTTTTGTTTTTTGGTCAGTAACATAGTATTGCGAATGTGAAAATCGTTTTCATAAGCTATCTAATCTAGTAAATGTTGGGCAAACCATCTACGAAGGACCCTGCCTTAGGACACCATAAGTCCAATCTTTATCAACTTCACTAGTTTACTATCAATGTAATGAACTAGCTGCTGCATAATGCCTTGTTTTTTACATGCCGCCAAATCCAATTCAAAAGTAGGCAAGTAGCTGCAAAAATAGGATGCCTTCTTGCTTGTGTTACCATATAGTTTCTGCTTATCCATCTCAAAACATGGGGTAAAGGCCGATTTCTTGCAGACACTCCTAACCAACTCATGATGTAGTTATCAGCAATTCAGCAATCATCAATATACATAATCTGTATTATGGTCGAAGCCTTCCTAAAAGTACGACTTAGCTAGGTCTAGAATACTTCTAATGCCTACTTATATGCAACCATATCAAGACACTTCAGTAATTGCAGATTTGTTTCCATACTTGATTTAATGTGTCCATGATTTGATGATGTATTTAGTACGCTAGCAAAGATACTAGTAGCTCCAAATTGTCTTAACTTTGTCTTCCTTCAATAACCTTCTCTCATTCTTTTGTAGGATCCAAAATCTAGCAAGTCAATGCTGTATGAATATGCATGCAAACAACAGTTAGATATGCCTGCGTACAAGACTCAGTCTTCGGAAGGAGAAGGACAGCTACCTATTTTTGTCTCCACGGTGACAGTGGCTGGTAATAACTTCACTGGCAAAGGAGGACAAAGCAAGAAAGACTCAGAACAGCTTGCTGCACAAGCTGCACTGCAGTGGCTTCAAGGTTTTTTTTTTATATATACCATTACTTCTATGTTAATTTTTAGGGGTTGAGGTGTGTATATTTTGTGGTTTGAATGTTTTCCATTACAGTAGCAGCTCCCTGCATACTTACTATGAATCGGTTCAGATACTGTCTTATGCTTTATACTTCTTCAGGGCTGAGATAACATTACACGAAAAGTAATACCTTACACTAAGTTTCAAAGTTGATCACTGTTTTCACTCCCTTCCCACTTATAGGAACTAACTCTGGAGCTATTCTCAACCAAATGGCGAGCTTAAAGCGAAAACACTATAGTGCACTTAAAACAGTCAAGTTCACAGGTAGTAACCTAAAGAAGCCAAGGAGCACTAATGTCAAAGGTAAAATCATTAACAGCTTGTTTCTTCAAAAGCTTAAAGTACTTCAAAAATGATGAAAAAAAAAAACTCCCAAATGCAATTCTTCTGGATTATGTGCAGGTCCTGGGGATGTCTCAGAGTCGAAAAGTGGTACCACGGTAAGAATTTTTATTCAAGGCTGTATTGAACACTGCATTACTTTGTATTTACTTCCTATTTTCTCCTCAAAGACAATAAATATGGTTGGGGGGAGGTCATAACTGTCTTCTGGCTTGAGATATAATAATCTTTGTCGGGTAATTCTTCAATCTCTTAGAGCAATAAAGATAACTGGGTGAAGTTATGTACAATTTCTTTTGTATATGTTCAGTAAGAAAGACTTTCCTGTTTATAATTTGTTGTTGTTCATTACTTGCAGCACTTAACATCAGCTCCTCACTATTCTACTGCTGTAACACAGCAGCGTAGCAGCTTTAAACAGCGTTCAGCAGGGCGCAGTTGATTTGGGAACAGGAAATATGCTTTTATGTATATAAAGCTAGGTTAGATATGTTTAATTTACTACCTAGCTTTTCAAAATTATGATAATGCCAATAACATTGAGCGTTACAAATTGACATATCCTTAGACAGCATTCTGCAAACACTTGAATCTGGGGCAAAAGAAACATCATAGCACAGTAAATAGCTGCACTTTTGCTTGGTTCGGGTCTTGGTAGAATTCCAACCCTTAGTTTTCTGGTTTAATCAGGGCTACGTAGTACGTACTATGTGCTTGAACTACAATGTCTCTAAGAGAAGACACTTATCACAAAGATCTTTTTTTTATATATAATCCACCTTCAGATTACTATGAATATATAATACGAGTATTGTCTATTTTATCTTATTTTGTTCTATTTTCAGTTCATTAAAGACATACAAATTCAATTGTCGATCTCTTCTTCAAGGGACGATACTCCTAGTTCTAACTGAGCATCTCTTCATTTTTGTACCATTAATTAGTTACTGTTCACATTTTTCGCCTGTGTAAATTTTTGTTGATTTTAGTAGGTCTACACACAGTATTACATTATCTAGACGAAGAAATGAAATTATTTACAATGATGAGATAGTAACATAAGCATGGGTTAAGGGAAATTAAGTAACATAAGCATGAGTTCAGGGAAAATCTGAGGGCAATTTCTCGACGAACAATGGGAAAGTTTTATCATTCCATCGCAACATGAAAGTCGGAAACTAAGTTGTGCAGTGAAATGAAAAAAACTAAAGTAAAGAGTGAGGATGAGCACAATTTATGCTTAGACCAAACCTCTCCCAAATGTTCTATCATGTATAATAATGTGTATATAAACTGGGTTATCAAGGTACAGTTCTTATAATCAGCTCACCATACCACACACTATAATAAGGAACAACAAGACTGTAAAGTGTAAACAGATGTACAGATCAGATATAAAAAAATGGTTAAAATTGGATTGAACCTGGTTTCATATATATGAATATATGATACATGCTTGCATATACATGACTATAATTTACATAGTTTGAATTACACAAGCCAGATTAATACAAGTATAAATTTATAAAAGTTAACACACTGTACCTTTGTGGCTTTCGTACAACACAGTTCGTGTAAAAAATTTGTTACTCGTTTTCAGAAAGCAAAATGAAGAGCACATCGTCTGTAATTGATCCCAACTCCATAGCTCTTTCTAGTGCAGTCAGTCCTCCCCAATCCTTAATAAGTCTTCTAGCACCTCTGAAGCCAAAAAGGTATGAAAAAAGTTATATTAACAGAACAACGATAAAGGTTTGATTGGAAAAAAATAATTCTTAAATCTGGAACTAGAATTAATTGTGTCACTCAAAAGTTCTGGACGAGGTTGAGGAATGTATAAATTTCTGGAAATGGAAATTAGAGGTACCAACGATTCAAGTTGAAATCATAAGGTACGGTTGGAATAAGTACTATATAAAGAATTAAAGATATCTCATATAAAGCAATAATATTTCTTAAAGTAGATAAGTTTTATGATTGAATTTCCTTGTAATCAGATTTTGATTTTGAAAACATTTTGACACAGTTTTTTCAGAAAAGATGACAGAAGGTTTCAACCACCACTAAGGCACTAACTACCCACACGATCCTGATCATTCACCCCTACTACACAGTAAACACCTCCCTTCTCTCAGCAACCCCAAAACCCCTAGCAATCCCCAGTCAATCAACCACTGACGATCCATCCACCACAACCTCCCATCACCAAATGACGCGAACCAACACCTGCTAACCTCAAAGCTGCCCTTTCTCTCTTCTCTGAAAAGGTGACTAGCTAGCCTTTTCTGCATCTTATTCCTCTCTTTTCTCCAGTGGTTGAGATTTGACCCTTTGTCCCCATGGTGTTTGAATTTGGTGTAAACTTCAGATACATAACCTGTCTGGACAAATTTGACTATGCTAGGTCGAATCATGCCTAGGATTTGCAGTTGAGAGTGGTTTATTTCTGAGAAGATAAATGTTGTTTTTAATTTGGGGCTAGGTTTGAGGTGAAAACTAGAATAAAGGTTTTGCTGAGAAAAAACAAAAATCATATTTTTGGTACTAGAATACTAATGTCACTTGAAAGTTTTCAAATAGATAAAGTTGAAAGTCTAGAAAAGAAAAATAGAGATACCAAAGATCCTAGTTCATATCATAAGATAATCTTCATTTTGAATATTTCCTTTGTCCAATTTAAGTAGTATTGTAGGAACTAGGAAGTCTAATAAAGTAAATACGTAGTAATAATTCTTAAACTCGAAACGGTTTATGATCAAATTTTCTTGTCACTAGTACGTAATTTAAGTGGACAGAAACAACATGGCTAATATAAAGATTTACTTTTTAGTAAGTATTATGTTAATTCATTAAGGGTTCGGGACATAATGACAACTAAGTTCAGACTGAGGGAATATTTGAAAAGGGAACCTTCATCAAGTGGATCAATAGCCTAGCAATAGTCAATAAATTATAGCAGAATAGAAAATTAAACAGGAAAAAGAAGCAAGTTTACAGTGAGAACAAAGACATGAGGTCTATATCTGTAAGATGCATCCTTTTGGCATAACTGCAGGAATTTCTAGGTAATTTTGTTTACCTTCTTAGAAGATACTTTGCCAACTCATCATTCTTTCTTGCAATGCAGTGGTGCAAAGGAGTCCTTCCATGAAAGTCACGCATATTAACATCAGCACCAGATTGCAGCAAAAGTTCAATCATCACAGTATTGCCAAAATGGCATGCCAAGTGTAACAATGAACAACCACGTAGACATCTTTCAGGTTCACCACCCCTTAACCTTGGGCATGTAGCTGGATCCAACTTGTGACCATCTTTGCCCAACTCTTCTTCCAATCTACTCAAATCAGCAGAGTGTATTTCATCATAAGTAGTATTTAAGACACTGGCATCTGATACAGCAATCAGTCGATAAGCTTCACACAGGTTACTAGTTCTAACTGCTTCCCACAGAGCACTGGCTCGTGAACCGATGACTGAATCAGTTGCATTCAGGCTAAGTAGCTTCTTTTCTGCATACTGAAACCAGGGCAAATAAATCATATTAGAATGTCATTGGAGAACAGTAACCTGGATGGTATTGCATCAAGGCAAGAAGATATCATATATTACCTTCAACTGGACATACTTTTCCTTCTTGCTGAAAGAATCATTCGAAGATGGTTTCACAATGGACGTAACAGAACTTTCTGATTCTTCTTTTCTGCATTGCAGGTTTATACAAAATCAGATAAGCATGAAATGGAAATGGCACATTGGGAATCAAAGAAAAAGGCAGAAACTGATTTTCTTAATTAAATTTATCTTAAAGAACTTAATTTTAAACTAGGCTCATCATTTCTTCAACTTAAAAAAATTTCACTGTAAAAAGATGAATAAATACTTTGTGAATAAATTTACTTCGACCATATACTTGGACTAGATTGATAATAATTTATGAAGGCAAGTACTGAATTCTCAAAGCAGGTCATATAGTGAGATTTCCAGACAGAAACTAGAATCATAAGGATGGCAGCATCAAGCAACTAATTTGTAGGTAGCAACTAACAAACAATTTAAATGCGCGTGTGTGGGTGTGTTCATAACAAAAGCATGTTTAAAGTTTCAGGTCATAATTGTTTACCTCCCATCAACAGACAGTTGTTCCTCCCACACAGAGTTGCAGTAAGCATTACCAAGTGCTTGAAATAATTCCAACACTGTTGGCTCCCAAACCTTGACATCCAACGTTATAGATCGAACCTACAATAGGAATGAAAGAAGTGACATTGACTTTGTCCATGCTGGACTAGATGGACCAAAATAAAATAATTCAACTAATATTAAATGTTGCATGATGTTTTGCGGTTGTACCCAAGGGACTCAATCAGATGCCTAATAATGCGAAATAATCCCCCCCCCCCCCCAAAGAGATTCCAATCAGATGCCTATGCTTTGTTAAGTGGCACAGCACTTTGATAAGTAAACAAAGGGATTATCCAACCAAACAAGAGCATGGCTTTTGTCTCAGCATCCTTGAACAAAGGAAACTCTTCCAGAAGGAAGGGGTAGCTGATGTACAACAAAAGAAATGCCAAACTGCAAGAGAAAGCACATGAATTACACACACCCTCTCTCCCTTAATTCCCGTGAAAAACGAGAAATGCACACTATATAATGTTGCGGAGGAGTACATATCAGGGGCTGTTACAGAATAATAGGGACCTACAAATTATGATTGATTATAAGCATGCTGTCATGCTTGTCAGTAAAACCCTCTAATCAGATCCTGGTCTTACCTTGCAGAAGTGGCCCAGAAATTCATAATGGTAAGGATAGGGAGAAGGGTAGTACGACTAGTAACTAGTAAGAAGAACCCTGGTAAATATCCCTATTCAACTCTACCAGAAACCTATTATATTGAATCACAATGTTGAGGCTTGAGAGAATTTTGAGAGTTGTAGAAAGCAAGATAAGGAAAATAAATCTCAAGCCAAATACTCTCAGAATAAAGTTCAAAGTAAATGCTTTAATAATTGTCATTTTACACTTGATAATTAGCATAAAGTTAATGTTAGAGGAAAAGCAAGAATTCAAATTACCTTTGAGATGTGAACACCAAGATTGCGATGGGCACCTGAGCATTCGATACACATCAAGATGCCAAGATTCAATGAGGCCCAATCAGGCTCAGGAGCGCTGCATTCTGCACACTGATTATTTCCAGGAATTTGCTGAAGGAGTCGAGAGACACCAATTGTGAGCTTCTCCGTATCATTGCTCAAATTTCGACTATGTGAGATAGGGGTATTTGACATAGCTTCACTCGCAATACATGAGCTATGATTTTCAACAACTGGAGCAAATGGCTCCTGAAGGTTATTGTTACACTGTTAGCATTTAAAAAAGAGTTAACAAATGACTTGTGAGTTGTAATTAGCAGCAAGCTGAGTAACCTGTTCTAAGTGAGAATTCAAAAGTGAAGTAATAACTCCAGTGATTTTGTTGACCCACTCCATTCTATCCGCCTCAGTTTCAGCCTGCAAAAACTATAAATTACAAACGTGGACAAAAAGAATAAACCAGAGGTACTGTGCCTTTAATAATGGTCATGCACTCTACTAACGCGGAAAGAAATGGTGGCTGTGATATAGATTACAAACATAAACCATAAGCACAAATAAGAGGTACCCCATGTATCATAGTAACCATTTCTTTCCCTGTTAGTATACTATTGATCAATAGGGCTCATAAATTTGATGTTCATACTCTACAGACAGAAGTTCTCAAACACTTCAAAACCAAATACAAAGTAGAAAAGAATGGATTCCTTTAATGTTAGCTTTTGGTATCTATTACAGTCAAATAAAAAACTCATAGAAATCATGATAACTTTGTAGAATCACTGAAATATTATACATACCTTTACCAGTTCTGACTGGTTGCAAAAGAATTATTCACAGAACTGACAAGGGACCATAATATTTTAAAATAATGAATGATTCTCCAAAGATAGACAAAGGTAAAATTTGAGAAAGCAAAAATGTGGGATATGTAACCAATATACATCTCATGCAATTTACAATGTAATTATGTAAGTCCATCGTATTACGGAGTAGCATAGAAAAACCATATGCAAAAATAATTGCCATGATCCCCGCACAAAGCTAAAGGGAGAGGGCGGGGGCACAAAAAGACAAGGAGAAGTGAAGTATATGTATAGAGGTAATACCGTAATAGTACATAAGCAACAAAGCATCTCTTAATTGAGTTTGAACTTTGATAACAACCATCAAATTATTATAAGCAAAAGTATTCATTGCCTATTGGCAAAAAATTACAGGCATCACTACTAGAAAAGATTGCACCTTTGATCCATTATGGATATAACAATGGAAGTGGCAGGGAATAGTCATAACTAATGCCCATAAGTACAAAATAATATGAACTGAATAAATGGAGCTTGATTATACAGAATACAACAACAACAAAGCCTTAGTACCAAAATGAATTGGGGTCAGCTAACATAAATTGTCATAAGGAATTGTACGATATACAGAAACGGACATAACAAAACCATAATTTAAAAGAGTTTGGAAAAAGGTGAGTAAATGAAAGAGCATTTAAGAAAAATTAAGGGATATTGCTTGGATATTCCATTAAATAGTTTCTAAAACTTATCAATTTAGAAAAAGTACCTGCAATGTGTATGTTTTTGATGGCGAAATTACTCGAAAGCAAAGACGGAGATCTCTGTCCTCTGCATCAATCTTAATTGTTGATGTACGAAGATCAACAGTACGACAGCCAAGGCTATCTTCAGTCCAAGATGGCGTCCTATTATGCTTTGACCGAAATCTCCCAAACACACTGTTACTTTGCTCTCCAACAGAAGTAGATTGGTTTGAATGAGGACCCTGAAGAAGTTTAGAAATAAGAACCTCCGAAACACTACCCGGCATAGGTTGAAAACTAGCAAATAGCAATAAAAGCATATGTATAAATTGCACTAGAAGGACACATGTCATACTGTCAATAAAGATCATCCTTTTACCATTAACTGAAATTAAGTTTCTTTTGCTAAATCTAGCATCAAGTCCTTTTCAAGATTTCAATGATTTTGTACTCTTATGCTCCTGGTCCAATATTAAGTTCTCTTTGATTGTCAGGGGGACAACCAAGAAAAAGGTCATCCAGGCATGGAATGTTGGGAATCAATAGCACTTGAGCTAACTTATCTTTTTATTTTAAGTTAAAAAAAAAAAAGGGGGGGGGGGGACAGATTTCTGAATCAAGAAAAATATCCAGACAACCAGTCCAACACTGCCTTTACAAAATCCAAAATTAAACATCCTTGTAATAGATGATCGACACCAGGATGGAAACAACACACAAACAACAGAAATACCAACATATCTAAACAAAACTATTTACGTGGGAAAATCCGGTTTTGGGGGGGGGGGTATAAACATTTTCAGATCACAGGCAGTGTAGGTAGATCAGATTATGTAAAACTATTTTAACAAACCAACTAGTATCCTAAAAGTTCTTGAAGTGTACTTTTCTATGATTGCCCATCTCTCCCTCCCTCCATTGGTCCAATCCTGCTCTCTCTTCCCTCTCATTCTTCCACTCATTCACTCATTTCTTCCTCCTCTGAATCTCTCTACTTACCTCCCTTACCCATACCTCCTTCCCCTGCTCTATCCCACTCTTGCTGTAATGCTATCTCTTTAACCTCCCCCTGATCTTCTTCCCACTCTCATTCCCTCCATTTTCTTCCTCTTACCCACTTCCCCATCCCCCTTTTTCTTCATGCACAAATCATCTTTTTTCTCTCTTCCCATTATTTATCACCCACTTCTCCATAACTTCTGTACTTCTACCCCTCTCCCTCTCTCTCAGTGTAAATACAGCATGCTCTCCCAAACTCTCTCTCCCTTTCTCTTTCTTTAGAGTTCACTTCACTGAAATATTATCTCTGAGCAATGAAAAGAGTCAAAATTCCATATTACACATTCAAGAAAAATGCTTAGTACATAAGAGTACCCAAAGATGCTATATAAAAAGAAGCACAAGACATAATGCAAAACACAACTCATGAATAGGGTAATTAATGACCTTTATCTTGGGGAACTATAAGAAAGTTTGACAGCTGGCAAAGATCAGAAATTGACTTCATGTTCTATTGATGAATTCGAATTGCTTGATAATTAATAAATTTTCTTCATAAAGCCAACCACCAGTGAAATATACGTAGTATGTCTTTCACCTATTTTTAGATGCAATGTTTTGCATTTGACACTATTCAAACACCCTCTTATTTATCTTTGGTCATCTATAATCAAGAGAAAAACAGTCATATGGGATCTTGTTGGAGTGTTGGACTCGTCTCAATTTATACTCTCAAAATATCAACTTCTTATAATTTTCTACTAATTGGCAATTAGAGATAGTAACTATTTAACTTGTGCATTGTCCAGCATGAAAAAAAGAAGTGCTGCATCTATAAATAAACAAAGGAAGAACTTCGTACCACTGGTTTTGGCCCCTTGGTTCTATGATAATATAATGTTCCACGACTGTCAAGCACAAAGAATCGCCTCTTCCAATTTGCCCTCAAGCTTGAAGATCGTTTTAGGAGGTAACCTTGCTTGATGGTTTGGACCTGTTGCAAATACAAACCCATAAGAAAAAGGATATAGTGGAATCAAAACATGTTATGTACGACCACTTGCTAACAGCATAATACCTCCAAGAACTAGGGACATACAAGGAGGAAAGATGATTTAATACAAGAAATAAACATTAGAGATTGAACGCTACCATCCCATTAGTATTAGACTGCATAATTGCCTCTATATCTTTGCATGAGGAACCCATACCGACAGGGCGAGTAGGCCGAGTACTGTCAATGCTTGTTGAGGCTTCTGTGTTACTTGTTACACGTAAGTTGTCTAATTGCACTTGAGTCCTGAACTCCTGCATTCTTCTAGCAAGTTTGTCTTGCTCGGCATTTGCAACCTCTTTTGACTGCTGTGCATATGTTAATACCTACAGCAACATTAGAATTTATGAGTGTAAAGCAATGCAAATAGCGCCAGACCAATTATAAACAACTAAACAAGGAATCCTATAAAAATTGAGCAAGGAGACACCCATTGTTTCTCTAGAAATTGACTAAAAACTATGTCAAACAAACTCAAATAAGGACATTGGATATGGTACACATCTGTGTATCTGACTTGTCAAGGCTCACATCTAACAAATAGGACTCCATCTTATGTTTGGAGTTTGGACATGAGAGCCGGGGCATGTCATTATTCAAATGTAAAGAAGAAAAATAGATATGTTCATGCAGATACTATCCAAACAATATACATTTTGAATACTCACACCCTAGAAGATCAATGAAAATGTCAGGAAGAGATATTTGATTTCATACCTGATGTATCAAGGGCTCCATTTGACTTAATAATTCATATCCCTGAAATCATTGTATGTCCTTCAGTTTTCACAGTCATAGTCATTCATATTGCTTCAAAGCAAGAAAAGTTCACACTATTTACCAGCTTGAAATATTTAAGGTGAGCATCCATGATTGCGCTGAAAGACTCTAAAAACTCATATTTCTTTTTTGATTCAACATTCATGAGAGAATTCACCTGGAATGCTTAACTGGCAGAGGTCAAAAAATGTCCAGAAACAAAGGGAAAGGGTTGAAGAGAGAAAAACAAAAAATAACAGTATTATTCAACATACCAGACTGAATCGATTTCTCTCAAATGCTGATTTGGAGTTGTGTAGGTCCTGCAAATAATTAATAAAATTCACTCAAAACTGGCAATCAGGCAAAAGCTCTATTATGAAGTTGTCCAAGAGATGGGACAGTCCCCTGACCCAAACTATAAGCATAGCTTAATTCTCCTTGAATATACCAAAATTTAATCCAGCCCCAACACTTAGGAAGCTAGACAAAAGAAGCATCTCCTCTATGATATCCTAAAATCCTTATCGAGAACCAGCATGATTGATATGGATTATAAAACACAAATTAACCAGACAAATCATTATTTTCTCAACTCCAAATACCACTTAGTTCACAGAAGAATCCCAGCTGAGGACCCTTAATTTATGACATTGTCAACTGGAGGTGATAGCTTGTTTCAAGAGCTTTCCAACAGTTGGTCATATGCCCAATTCCGACAAGAAATGAGAAAGTTATGGCTGTTTTACGAAGAATTGGCGATGCTGGAAATTTGCTGACAAGGTACTCGACGAAGCACTCCCGTGCCTAAAAGAGGCACGTCCGTGCTTAGTCGAAATTTCAGTTTTTTGGTCCGGTTTATGCTTAATTATTTTAGGGATAATTTCCTAAAATTATATATTTTTATGAAGGCTATTTGAGTATAATTGGGGAACAATTTAGGGTTTTATTAGGGTTTCCTTGTGTTATACAAGGACCCTTTAGTTGATCAATTAGATCATACCTTTTTGAGCCATTAGATTTAGGAATCCTTTTATTATTCTCTCGTTCTTCCTCCATTATAGTGAAGAAGCTCTCGAATCCCCCACCCGTGGATGTAGGTCGAATTTGACCGAACCACGTAAATCCTTGTATTCTTTTTTATCTTCTTTATTGCTTTTCTCGTTCCGAATTTTCATTGACTTGTTCCGCATTAATCAAACACAATTACACCCTTATTTCCTAACAATTTTCATTTTAAGGCCAAAGATTACATGAATCAGATAAACTCATGGTTTTTAGAGACGAATAACGATAACCTATATGGATATTACAAATTCTAATTAAAAGGTAAAAATTGGTTCTGTGATAAAATTTTGTCCTAGGGCTAGATATATGAAGGCACAATGTACTTAAAAGCTAGAAAGGGGTAAAAATCAAGACCCTGTCACCCCTACTGTGGTCACCTATTACATTTTTAAAAAAGATAAACAACATTTGTATCGTATTTCGGATTAGAAGAACAAGCAAAAGTTACAGATCAATCATCAGTACTTACCTCTTCTAGTCCAGCAACAATGTCTTCACGTGTGCTTTTCTTCAGTGAGGCATATCTTTCACGTGCCTAAATTTGATCGTGTTTACACAGAAGAGCAAAAGCAAAATAAAGTTTATCAGTAAATAACATGGAAAAAAAGGGAAGATGAAGATGAAGATGAAGAAGAAGCTGTTAAAATATACTTCCTCTGTTTTTCGTATTTTAATTCCACCATTCAATGGTTCACAATTGCCGATGCAAAACTTAAAGACATTTTTATCTTTAATTTGGTATTAGTAAATCTTGGAGTATAAAAATTTGACACTTAAATAGTATAATTCAAGACGAATCCAATAAGACCCACATAACTATATTTTTTCTTACATAGAGAACACAAAAGCTGGTCAAAGAGGGATGCGGAATGGTGAAAAAGTCCAAATGGTGCGATTAAAAAAACAGAGGAAGTAATAGCTACTGGGTGAAAACATGCAGCCCACAAAAATGCCATAGTCCTCTCTTAGCGTTCCATACACAGTTGGAAAAAGAAATAGGATTAGCAAAATACATATTATGAAAGTTTTTGTGTTCAGAGCTACATGAAAAAAAAAATCCAGAGGATCCCCACCCACTCGGCCACTCCTACACCCCCCCCCCCCAACACACTCACACAAAAAAATCAATAAATAAAAAAGAGCTCTCAGATCAGGAGACTCTGAATAGGACATGCGCTCTAAAAATCCTAACAAATGAAAACATGAGAATTGAGAAAATGGTAAGGTATACAATGGTTCATTTAATAATACAAGCAACGTGAAAGGCATGCACAGGATAGAGGCAATAATTGTTGAAGAGCCTGGGATGGAGACAAAAAAATAGGTTGATGTGATGGAAAGAAAGAAGAAGATTTTATATAGCCTGTGTAGTTTAATAAATAATGTTTATAAACAGAAGTATATTCCATATAGACACTTGATAGTGCTTATAAATAAACAGATAAGGTCCAGATCAAGAAATGCAAAGAATAAAACGGGGTATAAGAGAAAGTGGGTCATATGTACCTGATCATAGGCATATATAGATTTGTCAAATCGTCGGCGGGCATCCTGCAAGGGAAGGAGATGTATATAAACTTAATATGAAGGCAGACAGGAAGCGATGAAAATACATTGCATAAATACAGTTATGCAAGTAAGTGATCATGAAATAACAATGGACAACAACCACTAGAATACTGTAAACCTTTAGAGGAATGCTAATACAACAAGGCAAATAAAACTTTGCCCTGTCCGGTATGTTGACAATGGTGTATGTTAGACTTTCCATAACAAAAATCTAGACAAATCTTCAGGCATTTTACCAAAAAAGTGAGACTTTAACAGAAAATGTTTGCAGACAAAACATAAGGTCAACTACAAGCAGTGTATCATACAGCAACTTTAACATCAAACAAAACAATTAAATCAGCCACATAGCATATGTTGATATGTAGTAGATACAAGTAATACAACCTTCAAAAAGACTAGTTTGACTCCGTAAATATCATGTGATATTTAAGATTTTAAGCCAGTTGTAGGAACAGAAATGATGTGTTGATCATGGACTGTGTTGCACTTTTCACAATATGAATTTTTTAAAGGGATTTACACTGATAGGTATACTATCAGAGTAGTAAAAGCAGACTATTAGAGGATTAGAGTCATTATTGGGGATACATGGGTTCTACACTGATTGTATACACGGCACTCGGCTTTTACAAAGAGTCAGTGAGGGAGGAAATACAAATGTTCTGATGTTGCTCTGGTGTGACTAGCAGACAACAGTACTTGACTAATGAAAGCAAAAAATGAGACATACAATTTTTGCAAGAATTTTACAAGGCTTTCACCTATAGCTATAGCAGTATGCCAAAGCATAAGAGATGAGTAAAACTTTACCCTGTAATTACAGAAAGAGGACGTTTCTTGAAATGAAAAAGCAGTCCCCAGTTTAATGGGCTTTTAATTGAATGTTTTTTGCAGCCAATTATAATACATAGGTGAAAAATATACTATCACATTTCCTGCAACACTAGGAAAAATTGGGGAATATTTCTAATTACCATCAATCATTTCATCAGTAGAGTTCAATATGTACCTTCGCATCTTGGAGATCAACAGATACAAATTGTTGGAGACGATCAACTAAAACATGTTCCACCTGTGGTAGAATGAAAATCCGCATAAATACAATGCCTTCAAGTTTTAGAAAATCAACAAACATTAAATGTAAAACTGGAAATCAATTTTATAACCAGGAATCCAGGATAAGGAAATCAGGGTTCCAAGAATAGGCCCAAAGATGAGACAATACCCACAAGATTGGCAGTAAAGTTTTTATTTTTTTAACTCTCCCCCCCCCCCGGGGGGACCCAAATTTCTTAAGGCCCCAAGGCACTTCAAAGCAAAACAATTTTAAAGGATAACTTGTTTTCCTATGGCGATAATATACAGTAATTTCACTCAGTGCTATTATATAGGCTTGTCATTTTGTCCTTTTTGGATATAATTATAATTTCTTTATGATTTAAATTTTGGAATACACTCCTGCTTAGTTTTTTCATACTTCCTAATCCTTGGTGTGAATGTCTTTAATAAATGCTTCCTCTTTTTTTGTATAATTGTTCCAACTTTTGACTATTTATATGAAATACTTTGACCATATTTTCATCAATCTAATTGGTATGAAAGTACCTATTTCATTTTATTTCACAAAATGTCCATATCATATTACATATAACGCTTTATCTCTTCCCTAAGAACCAATGCACCCAATCACATATTTTTAAAAACATACAGTATTAAAAATCACGTGCTATACAGAACCTAAATTTACACCTTAATATTTGTGCCAAACCATATTTTTTTAAGAAACCCATGCATACCCTCCTATACAGTTTCAATGACATCCAAAGAATCACTTTAGAAGTTATGGATTATAATGAAATAATCAAAATGGTTCTAGAACAGTGACGCTTTCTAGAAAACCAAAGTAAATCACCAGCAGCTTAAGCCCACCAACACGTGCATTTAGTTATAATCACAAGTACTACAAGATCATCGTAAATGCATAATGCTACCACATGTTCTTCTCCTTCGCCCTTCCAAAGTCCACTAAACAAACTTGTGGCAATTCCAACACTGTACGAGGGATAACCCAATACTCCCTTAGATAGCAAGAAACCTCCAATTATGACTCGTCATCTCACAATGAAGGAAGATACGGAAGCAAGTCACTATTTGCACGACACAACATGCACGTATCTGGTCAATTCCTTCAGAATATATACCCAACACCAAGCTCCAAATAAAAGCTCTATCCACCAGAGGAACACCAGCCTTCCAGATAAATAGGCCAGTGGAGAAAAGGAATTACCGTGCTGGTGAAGATAAGCAAACCAAACACTTCTTGCAAGTAGAGATGCCTAATAATCCCCCACTCACGTCCTAGTATCCCTTACCACCAATAATCGGGAGGCTAAAGCTCAAAATCAAGGCGAGCTCCTCTGTTTCTTTGTCACGGCCTCACGGGAATGCCTCTGTAACTGAGAGTCCGGACATTGCTCACATGGAATGCTAAAACAGGAGTGTCTTGTAAAGTGGACGGATTAAGTAATCGACGAAAGGGTACAATAAAAAAAGCCTTGTCAGAGGCATTGATACTGTCAATCATAACATGTGTATATGTGCATGTATATTGCCAATAATAATATGTGTCCACGTGCGCCTGAGAGAGCGTACACACATGTACTCAACATTTTCTTTTGAGAAATACAATTGATAAGGCAAAAAGAAAATGTCGATTTTTAATAACAACGTTGAGTGTATGATATAGGTTTAAATAGTGAAATACCTGATCTACTAAGCTTACGCTAGTGTAGTGATAAGCTAAGTTTGACAGACTTCAAAGCAACTAAAAGGAAATAGCAGGACAAAACTGAAGCAGTGTTACCAAAAGATTTTAAGGCCTAAAGACCATCCTTAGCCCTTATTCTCCATAAGGGAGGTAATAGGTAACCCATTCAAATAAATTTATACAACTTACCAAACAAAGAAGCTACTAGAAGCGGCTTACCTGCAACCGAAGAAGGTCCTTGTAAGTTGCAAGCTCCCGGAAAGCGCTGGTGAACTTAGAAATTAGTGGACCTGAAGAAAACAATTTTAATATAAAAGCAGCATATAAACCATGCCATACTTGGGCAAAATGAAATAACATAGTATCAAATAAAATTCCAGCAGATAGCTGATGAATCACATTTATATAGGATTTATAGGCACGTTTATGCTAAGTTTATAGTTGCTTTTTAGGTCTTTTAGTCGCTTTTTAGGTCGTAAATACATAAGTTGTTTGTTTTGTGCTCTATTACGCTCCGTTTGTGTTTTTCTTAATGTTTCAGGTGATTTGATAGATATTTGGACGCTTTCGTTGTCTTTGGAGTTGATTCGGATGATATTTGGATGGAAGTCGATTAATTGAATTTATAAATCAAAGATCCCACGTTCGTGGATGTTGATTTTGATTAATATGTGCATGAGACATGAATATAGAATTCACAAGGGTCGTTATGTACTTTACGGAAATGAATTTGAGTTAGAAACGAAGAAAAACGAAGGTTTGTAAAGTGGCAAAACTGACCTTTGATCACTCTTTTGATCATAACTTGAGTTCTAAATATCGGATTGAAGCGATTCAAATTGCGTTGGAAACTAGACTTGAAGAGCTTTCCAATGATAGGTCACACGCCCCTAGAAGCTTTCTATAACAAAAGTTATGTCCGTTTTAATCCGAGCTATGTAGCCTGCGACCATATCCCGCGGCCACCCGATGGTCGCTGCTGCTACTGCCAGGGCGCGGCCACCACCCTGCGGCCGCAGGTTCTGCCGAGCAGCCAAGGCAGCCCACGAGGCTTCGTCGCTACACATCTTCACTCGTTCCTTGATTTATCGATCTTATTCGTGTCACGTCATATTTTATCATCTAATAGCATTGCAACTTTTGTAAATATTATTTTCTTATTTCTTTTCTTTATTTATTTTTAGATTAGATTTAGGAAGTTTATAAATATCTCAAGGGATATTATGCCTTTTTATACTTTTTATTTTTACGTTCTTTTGAGTTTTCTCTTTTGAACCCTAGTTTCTCATGGCATCTCCATGGATTCTTCCATGGATGATTCTTGGGTTTACTATTTTAATTCATTGAGGTATTTTATTTCTTTTTTCTTGCTTTTAATTATGCTTTCTTCATTAGATTTAGTTTTTATCATTTATTTCATGCTAGAGTAGTTTATTTCTAGGGTTTGGGAATCCATGTTTATATTATGAATCTTGATTGATAATTTTAATATTTTGATTATTGATTTCTCTAATTGATAGTGTTTTATTGTTAATCTTGCAACCTGATCAATTGTTTGATTAATTCATGTTAATAAGAGTTTGAATCGAAAGATCTTACTTTTAGAGGCTTCCCTACAATTAGCAATTCTGATTATGTTAGCGACCGCACTGCATATGTTGAATTGAGAGCGTTAAGACCCGACCGTAGGCTTAGCAATCGGTCTAGATTACTGATTGATTGAATTGTTATTGATATTTGATAGATTTAGAACTATAAACATGGTGAACCATAACCCTAGGTCTTTTTATTAATTATTTTATCCCTCTTTTAATTTAGACTTTTTTTCTATCTCAATTTCGTGACATAGTTTAGTTTCTCCATACCTTAGAAGTTAGATTGAATAACCATCTCTCTGTGGATTCGACCCTACTTACCCTACTACATTGTTAGTTGGTTCTGTTAGGAATTTATTTTTGACAGGTGCACGACAACCTATCAATAGCGTTACTTCTTGTTAAATTGTTTCTAAGAGATGATCAAGCTTTAAATCAAACCACAATGTTAACAGTAAATCCTATGTTACTTGGACTCGGATGAAGTGTCCAATTAGACACGGGTGTCCAAGTATCGGACTCGCCCATTTTCTTGAAAAAAATTGTGTTTTTAGTTAAAAATGAAGTGTCCAAGTGTCGGTGTCGGTGTCCGACACGAGTCGTGTCAGACACGGACACGTGAGGTAAATGAAAGAGTCCGAGTAACATAGAGTAAATCAATTCTTGAACCATTAATAAGACCCTTGCACAATGCAGTATTTTCTTAATATTAACGAAAAGGATTTCATTGAATGACAAAGAATGTTAAATACAATAATTCTACTCAAACATGATGCACATCTTATAATATGAACCCTTCCCTCTGTATTACACTTAACTTTTGGGGTGGCTTCCAGGAAACCAGCATTCCAATTATATGACAGTTCAGTTTTCTAATAGAATTCTCAGGTAAGACTTCAGGAGACAATCCTTTATGGTGAATATAAGAATACCTCCTTAAGTCCTGATTTTTTTTCATTTAAGGGAGCACAGTCAAATTATAAATAAATTCGCCACCAATATCATACAACCAAAGGCTGCTATAAGCTGGGAAAAAAACTCTTAAGCTCATGGTTCGCGATATAGAAACTTTGTCAATGATCAATTAGCTCCAATCATGCTCACGTCCAAACCTCTCAGATTAACTACACCTTACTTCTACTTCACAATTACGCATTTGTGTCTTATATATAAAAAATAAAAATAATAAAATAATAATAAAATAAATAAATAACGCATTTGTGTCTTATATATAAAAAATAAAAATAAATAAATAATAATAATAATAATAAATAAATAAATAATAAAAAGCCTGCTTTCTGCTGTTCAAGTGAGGAACAAACTCTCAAACTTCAACTTACCTCCTATAGATAAACTCAAAGGATCATCCTGTCCCCCAAAGGATTTTAAAGCATCTGCAAAAGTGGTGTCACCTTCATAAGCTTCAGAAAGAGCAGCCCTGCAACATCAAGAGTAAACTAGTTTCAGATATAGATCCTACTGCTGATTGTGCATGCCAGCTACCTTGTTATTATAATTCTTTATTAATTATGCTCTTAGGTACATTATAAATTTTAGATTTCACATTGAAAGAGTTGCTTAAAAATGCAACGAATTTGCACTGGGAAGGACAAGAAAATTCCTAAGGGGAAAACAAAACAGCAACTGGCCCACTACAAGGTGATTAAGGAAGTTACGCAAGATGCACAACTTCTCAACAAAAGGAGTATTTGAGATATCTAGCCTTTTTTAAAAAAAAGCAACAAGGCCTTGTTGGTTTAAGTTGCTCTCTATAAAGGCCCATGCTTTGTTTCCTGCAGCAATGGATTATTTTACACGTGAACTGTATCATCTACCCTGGATTTCTTTGTTCCCATAGCTAATAATGTGCCTTAAAGTCTTCCCCTCATCTAGTCGATATCTCATTGCACAGAAATCCTATAGTATACTTAATTTGTTAATCGGTAGTAGGAACAATTTCTACATAAGTAGATAGGTTAAAACGAGTTACATTCTTTAGAGGTGTATTACCCTAATCTAACCTTGTTAATCTACTATCCTTTTACATTACATTTCTTGGTTTATGTCATAATTCCTCGACGTGAGAAAAAACATGAGAAATATTTGCATAATAATTTCCTAAATATAGGAGGGGGATTTCACGATAAATGTTACTTCTTCAGAGTACTCACAGCAATTTCTGGGATCCTTTATAAAGTCTCTGGCAACGATCCTTTAGTTCATCGGTAGTCTGTTCCATCGAAAACACCTGCTCAATAGTAACAGTCACACTCATATCAGAAAGAAAGATCATTCTTTCTACTGACACTTGTTTCGCTTCGTTGCTATAAGTAACATCACACTACTTACACCTTTTCAAAGCTAGAAACATATCAATTAAAAAGACTATACCTTGCCAATAAAATAAATCAATAAATAGATAAATAGGAGTAAAAAAAAGCATCTATAATTGGAAAGCTCCCTCCGTGGCTCAAATTGTTCAATGCAAAATCAATCGAGACAATCGAAATTCGCAAGATTCTTATCGACACACTACAAATTGAGACTAGATTACAGTGTAATGTAATAAAAATTGATAAGAACGCAATGCCAACTAGCTTAATTGGTAGGTACATAAGTAAATTAAATCTCGTCTACATCATTGCCCTCGCTAACAAAGCGGTCCGTCACAGCTTAAGATCAAGAGTTGCCCCCAAACAAAGGAGGTTAATATGATCCCCAATTACATAAATTCTTCAATTCGATTAAAATTCACAAAAAAAAAAAAAAAAAAAAAAAAGTATATAAATCTGCAACTCAATTATGCGTCGCGCAATTAAATAAACCCAATCAATAATTTTTCAACTTCAGATCGATTCAAAGCATTAATATAATGAAGAATACAAAATGCAGATCAAATTAAATGAAAATAATACGGGAAATTAAAGGTACCTGCTTGTGAAACATAGGTGAATCTTCTAGATCAATGTAGGACGCCATTGGAGGTAAGGAATTAAGGTAATATGAGAATGAAGGTGAAAGTGATGAAGAAGAAAGAGGAGAGAGAAAGAAGAGAGAGATGAGAAAGAGAAAGAGAGAGAATTGCAGAAATGGTGAGGTGAGTCGAGTTGAGTTGGGAGTTAGATGTCACCTCACTGTCATACGATACCAAGTTTCGCCTTTCTCCCGACACCCTTCTGGTTTTTTGTTTTCGTACAGATACTACAAACACTACTCAATTCTTTTTTCTATTTTTTTCGGTTCTTGTTTGATAGGTCTTGTATGTCCATTTGAGATTGTCCCATACTATTTTACTCTCCTAACCACTACATTGACCCTTACAATGATTCTCTCTCCACGATTTCTTTCAACTAAAGATTAAAAAAGTAATCATCCCCGTATTGAGCGAACAAAGGGGAACGGAAAGAGTAATGCTATTGTACATCACGCCATGTTTTATGCAATATGTCATCTTTATGTGTGCTATTTACACACAAGGTATAGCGGTTGTTTTTGTATGATATCTCAATCAATAAAGATAGGTAGGATGGATAATTTTTGCGTATGCTATCTTTTGTTGTTAAAGTATGTTTAGAGTTACTTTAGACTTAGTCGTCTTCAAAGAGGAAACAAAGAGTATCTATCTTTGGAGGTACCTATATTGAGACTTTGGTGTGATGTATACTAGCCCATTTTTTGAATTGATCGAGCATCATGATCTTACATGAAAGATGATAGATGTAGGTTTAGATCCTACTTAATTTAGCTATTGGATATATAAGAAAATATTACTTCAAAATTAATTATTCCTAATATATATATATATATATATATATATATATATATATATATATATATATATATATATATATATATAAATCAATGATATCACTTCTAACGTTATGCCTGATTATCCAATAGGTTTGGATTTAAAGGGGTAAATCTTTAAGGGCAATATTATTACTAATATAGATAGGTTGGCTATTATTTTTTATTTATTTTTTTTTTGACAATGAAAACTTCATAAATAAAAGACAAATTACAACCTCAGAGAGCTAAAAGTAACTAAAAAACTAATACACCAAACTAAACACACTAACATCAAACAAGCAACCTTGTATTAAGTGGCCGAGGACCAAGATATGGAGTCGCGATGAAGACCACCAAATGCATAACACCATTGACTTTGGAGCTTGGGAAACCAAGAGAAACTTACTGATGCTTCATTGTGGGCCAAGAATTGCCAATTTAAACGGAAAACACGAGATGAACCTAGTGATGAGAACTGAAGTTTGCAAAAATCCTAAAACAAAATCAAAAGAAAAGTTGTTGAGACCAACACCAACCAAAAGGCCGTACCCTGTTGTAGAAAAACTGACCGTTGACACCATTCCACTCCCGGGGATGGCAAACCATAAGTACTTTCTAGGAGTCTGGGAATACAACCAAAAGCGCCATACTTTGTAATGGCTCTACTTTGAGAAACCTTGCTTGACAATGCAGGTTGGCCATTAAGTTATAACCATTATAAGTAAGCTCTAATATTGTATGTACCTATTTATGATCATTAAAGCTTAAAGTATGGCAATAGGCATCTGTAGAATCGGCATTAGCACACTTAACTTTGTTGCTAGAGATATGAAAAAATGAAGTATACCAATTATCTGTGAGCCAATGACCTAGATGATGTAGGTTCAAGTCCTACAAAAGTTAATTGACATTTGATCAATTATTATAGAGTATAAAGTAGCCTCGAGCTCGAAATAACCCCCTTGCACGCCAAATGTAATCTGCCACCTTTGTACGGGGTAACTATAGATGTCTTAATTCAGAATACTGCAAGTCTAACGGATTCGCAATACATCCAAATGACATGACTTACATGAGAGAATGAGTATTAACGATTTTGAAATATATGAATAAATTTAAATGACATAAGAAAACGAGTGTTGCAATTTTGGAATATATCCAAATGATATGACCTGAGAATTTAAGCATAACTATTGAATACATTCCTATGACATGAGAATATGCAAAAGAACCAATAATAAGAATTGTTATTTACCTTGTCAAAAAAAAAAAAGAATTGTTATTTACAGCTACATAGTTCTAAATAGCTCACTTTTAGGCAGATAATTCAAGCTAGCCTCACAATGATCCTACTATCAAGTAAGACTGCTCCCGACCCCCGGCCCAATTAGAGCCCGGGAGTAGCAGGGCGAGGTAAGGGGCTCCTCACCCCAAATGCACATGACTTCAAGGTCACAAATTAAATCCTTAATCAACTATGCTAAGCAAGTAGGGTAGTTCTTTTGAATATGAAACTCACTACAAATAATTCAGGAGATTAGGGAAAACAAGAAGATGAGAATTCTGATACTCAGCTCATCAGCTATAATGCTACATTTACAGTCCCAGAAACTCCTAGCTATTCTACACCACAATAACCAGCATATTGATAAACAAGTGCACTACAGAGTATAGACATTCAAAAGACGAGCTCCAATTACTTGAAAACTGATACTCCTAGTACCCAACACACCCCCCCCCCCCCCCCCAAAAAAAAAAAAAAAAAAAAAAAAAGCCACTAACTCCAGAAAACTGAACTGCCTACAATGCAAGTGAATTCATTTGCCTCACATTTAATTTTGCTGACTCCAGAAGAATGAAACTGGAAGCCTATTCTTTTTGAAACAATATCAACATTGGGATAATCCTCCCTCCATATCTCATCATCTCAAATCTTCAACTACACTTCCTAGTTCCTACCTATTCATCCCATAGGGGCTACAAAAGTCAACAACTTGATTTCTGAATTGAACAGCCATCGAAGCAACTTATCGTCCATTTGATATGTACACTCTAGCATATCCAACATATTAGGACTGCAATTCCACCTCCTATTCTCAATAACACTCTCTGGCATTTTAATTTTTCCACCAAATAATAATCAGAAGAGCATGACAAATAACATTGTCTACCACAGAGCACCGACCAAACTTTTGAGCTTTAATTTGCATGTTGAAGTCTTTTCCTCATTAAAGTCAAATCATCAACATAATATAATTAACAGTACGTTTGATGCTACACTTAATTATACGAAGAAAGAAATAGGGGTGGACCTGCGTGAGGTAGAAAGTGACAGTGGTAGCAGCAATGCCCCCAGCCCTGGACGTCTGTGGATAGAGGTGTCAAGGACCTCAAGCCATCATTGAGAGCTTCAAAGAGCTTCGTCATTTCAGCTTATTCATAGATGACAATGTCTAAGCAAACCCAATTTACCAATAGAAAATAACCCCTAAAACATTAGCACCACCTAAGGAGAAAGAATGATTGGACAAAAAGGGGGACAAAACAAGTAACTTTGATATTATTTCTAGCAAGAAAAGCATATGAAAATACACAAAAAGATAACACGGTTTAAAGAGAAGCTTCAAAATGAAGGAAAGAGTTATCATTACAAATGTTGCATAAGAACTCAAACTTATTTTTATTTGAGTTTTGAACAATCACTCATTTCGCTAGACTAATTCATCATCTAGTTGTTGTAGAGAATGAAATCTAGCACTTTAAAACAGATTTGGCAATGATAAATCACATCTATGCCCTTTTCTTGCAATATGAATTCGGTAAAATGTTGCTGAGTTCGTCTCATTGCAGGTGTTTCTTCTAGAGTTCAACATAAACTTAATTAAAATGAGAGAGATACAAGAAGGTATCCTTGGCTACGATTAAAAGGAACAAGCTCCATAAGACCAAGATATAATTCCGGGTCACTCCATGGTGAACATAATCAGCCAAAATCTCACGAACCCCATCCATCGACCTATGACGAATTCCATGATACACATAATAGGTAAAAGCTAGGGCAGCAATCTCAAGAGATAATGTATGAAGCTTTGATGAATAAAAGACCGCCTGGTAGAAACTTGGATAGGTGAAACAAATTGAACCCATCTTCATGTAAACAAGGGAGAACAACAGATATGTACCTGTGAGGTACATTCCAGATACTCTATGCAAGATTGACAAGGTGGAATTAGATTGAGGCCGATAAATAAGAAGATGAGGAGATAGTGGGCGAAGGACATTCTTATGATCATCAACATTAGTTTCTCCCTTACCAACATTTATCTCATTATCTACACACAAAAAAAAAAAAAAAAAAAAAAAAAAAAAAAAAAAAAAAAACAAAAGACAATGGTTAAAATCAACACAAAAACAAAGACAAGAAATGAAGCAATATGATAATGTAATTATAAACAAGTCATGTGACAACTACAATTGTGTTTAAATACACCTAATGAGTTTTTTTAATTTTGAATTAGTTCATATAGATCTTGGTAATTCCATACATTTGCATTTTACTTTATTCACAATTTCACACACCCTATTTTGACTAATTAGGGTGATTTAAAATAAAGAGAATATACTAAGTTGGATTATTTTCTTTCATTTATGCTTTCAAAATATCAACTTTAATGACTGTTAATGTGTTGCATCTAAAAATAAACAAAGGAAGTATAAGCTGCATGTTTTTTCTTTAGAAAAGTTGTGTTAGGCTATATACTTTCAAACTTAATACGTTAATAGTCATTTGGTTGACATAAAACTACACTGAAAGTTGAGTGAAGTTGGTCAATTGGTTGGTAGAAGATTACTCCGATTCTCCAAACACAACTTTATATCAGCCAACTAACCACTTAAAACCTTTTTCAAAGAATCATATCGACAAAAAACAAATAGCTCGTGATACAGGTATAATAATTTTCACTAGCCAATAGAGCAATGCATAAACAATCCATACATTTTCCAAAAGATGATACTCTAACTTATGTTCTGAAAACACGACAATTCTCGAACCAATGTGATTAAAACACCTCTACTCTACTAAACAGGGCAATTAGATCTCTTACCTCTCATCATCAGCAATCAAACAATCTTTAACACCAAGGGGATAACTAGAAACAATGAAATGAACATAAAAAAGGATGGTTACTTGAATTATTACCTAAATTCTTTGTGGCAGCAGTGGACAAGTATCTGGCAAAGCTAGGATTAGCGAAATCGGGGCGAGAAACAGGCGAAAACGAAGGACTAGCCTGTTTTCCAGTTCCAGCACCAACTGATGAAAAATAAGCATTGAGAAACCCTAGCCCTTGCTCACTGCTGCGTGGCGCGATTCCGCCCGATTGATCAGCAATTCTAGCTCCATATCCCTCACAACCAAGGGTCTACATACACATCAATCAAAAATCAAATTCAATTGATTGAACAACAAACTCATTCTTACGAATTTCTAGGTTAAAATCAATCATTTTAATCATTGAAACTGAAATTTTTCATTGATTTTGAATTGAATTTGCTTGATGAATTCAGTGATTTATAGTGAATTGTAAACTGAATTATACCGATTAAAATCGAAATATAACTATAAATTAGCGAATTAAACAGAAAATTGAAGAGATTAAGGATGAAACTTACAGCATTAAAGAGAGAAGAGCGAGAAGATCTGGAGATAGAACGTCCGATTCGAGAAAGCATCATCTTGACGATAACGAAGAGATGATCTGAAGATGAATGCAGAGAATTTCAGAAGCTTCAAAATTTCTGAATCAAAATCAAATGAAGACGTCAGAAAAATTTAACCAGAAAAGAAAAAAAATGGAGGAGAGAGAAAACGGGTGAGCGTAATACCGTAAATGTGACAATAATTGTGGGTGATCAAATGAGTATTCAGCCTAAATTGGCTTTTTGGTGGGGTGATTAATTATTTAATTATAATTAGAGGAGCAATTTTCATAGCTAATGCTAAAATGTAAATTAATTCCTTATGTATATCAATTTTAAAACTATTTTTCACAATATCATTCACTTAAGTCTGTTCACTTCACCTTAATTTCAGTTCAGTTCAGTTCAGCTCCAATCGGTGCAGTTCAGTTCAGCTCAACTCAGTTCAGTTTAGTTTTGTTCAGTTTAGCTCAGCTTAATTTAGTTTAGTTCAATTCAGCTCCTAATTTCCTTCTCTCATAAAATATTCATTTCAATTGTATTCGATCAGTTCAGTTCAATAAATGTGAACAGACCCTTAGCCTCGGATTCGAGTTTCATTTTTTTTTTCCTGAAGATAAACTGCTATAACGATGGCGGTTCTACATATCATTAACAATTCGATATCAAGTATAACCTCTAATTAGGGGCAAGTGTTATATAAAATTGAAATTAGGGCTAACCTTACAATCAGGGGAAAGAGTGGTGAATGAAATTCCCGCGTACGAAGGCAGTGACAGTCAAAGGTGATGAATTCGACGGTAATTTGGACCTTGGAGTAGTGACCATAGATTTGGTGTACCACTTGGGCGGTTTATCTGGAGTATCGTGCTTTGGAAGATGAACACTTCGAAATATTAATATCAATTAATTACCTACTAAGGGCCTGTTCACATTTACTGAATTGAGCTAAATTGAACTGAACTAATTGGAGCTGAAGTGAACTAAACTAAATTGAATAGAGTTGGAATGAATATTTTACGAGAGAAGGGAATTAGAAGTTGAACTGAACGGAATTGAAATTAAGCTGAAGTGAACAGGTTCTAAGGCACTGATACGTGTTTGCAAATACATATCGAGTACCTACTAAGGCCACGTTGTTTCTTATCGCTAAATATCTTTAATTTCGTAATGAAATTTTTATAAAAATACATAAATGTGGTTTGAACCCCTAATCTCATGTAATGAATACCACACATCTTATCATCTTAACTAGAAATAAATTATGATCTATTCATCCACATAAATGTATTTAAATGTATGCTTCAAAAAAATGTATTTAAATATAGAAAGATGAATAACATGCAAATTATAAACAAAAAAGACTCATACTACTCTTAATATTTTTTTTGATATTCAACATTATATCCCAATTAATTAATATTGTACTAAAGAATTCAAATACTCCCTCCGTTCCCCGTTGATAGTCACTTTTGCTAAAAAATCATGGGAATTAAGGAGAAATAAAGAAAGTACATTGGGTATGTAAAAAAGAAGAGAGAGAAAGTAATTAAAGTACATGGGAAAATAAAATTTACACGTTAAATTTAAATTTGCACAAATATTTTTGCAAATGTTAGAGAATTTTGGTAAAAAAATAATATTAATGGTACTTGAAAAAAGCAAATATGACTAACATTTTGAGTCACCAAAATGGCAAAAGTGACTATCAATCGGGGACGGAGGGAGTAGTTTATTTAAAAAAATAAGGAAAAATTTGTTAAAAAAAAACTTTTAAAATCATTATTTTGCGAAAAAAAACATTTTAAAAGCTTTTATGTTAAAAAAAACCCCACTTTTTTTTTTCTCGAGAGGAAACCTACTTCCTTAATTACACACTAATTAACTAATTAGACTTTAATTTCCTCTCATTTTTTCTAATTAACCTCTAACCCACCAAATTACTAAAGGCTTGTTTGACATTATTTTTTGTTTTCAGTTTCCAGTTTTTTTTTAAAAAAACAAAAACAAAAAAAGGATACAAGAAAAAGGTGTTTCCACTTTTTTGTTGTCAGTTTTCAAAATTATCATGATTTTAATAAGTTTGAATAATTTTTTTATTAATTACATGACATATATTACATTATTTAAAAAAAAAACAGAAAACTACAGTGATGCCAAACAAATCTTAAATAACTAGATTTAATTTATATAGATAAAAAACCACCAGCCCTTCCCCTTCCTCCTCCATTTCCCCCTCCTTTTCCTTTTCCTTCCTCCTCTCTTTCCCCCTCCCTTAACAGCAACCCCCTCCCCTTACCGGTTACCGAAATCCGCTGCCCAGATCCCCCACCACCGACGACCTTCTCCATCGTCCGAAGACCCTTCCTTTCCCCCTAATCACCATCAGTGACAATTACCTTCTTTATTTTGATTAACCCTAAAAAAATTGGGTTTTTAATTTTGTACATCTTGCTTGCAATTGATGCTTGTTTTGGCTTTGATTATGTATGTATGTGGTGTTAGGGTGATTTAGAAGCAAATTTCAATTGATTTGGACTTGATTTGAACATGTTTGAGTAGATAAGAGCCAAAAATTTGAAGGGAAGTGGTGGTCGCCCACGGGGATAAGGGGAAAAGGGAGGATCAACCAGCGGTGGAGGTAGGTCGCCGGAGGTGGAGGGATCTGGCGACGTGTCCGTTGGGTGAGGAGGTTGTTTCCACGGGAGAGGGAAAGGGAGGAAGAATAGGAAGGGTGGTTGGTTGATAGTTGAGGTGGTGGTTTTTTTATGTTTAAAGAAATGGGAGGAAATTAGAGCCTAATTAAGTTAATTAGATAATTAAAGAAAATGAGTTTTCTCTCAAAATAAAATAAAATAATGAATGTGGTGGTTTATTTTTGACAAATTTTCCTTAAAAAAAATCCACTTAGAGTAACGGGACACGCCTGGGCCACAAACTAATTAGACAAAAAAAAAAACCACCTCACACACTAGTCTATCTATAACTAATATATATATATCTATATATTATATACTAACAACCGCTGACGTCATCACTGCTTACGTGTCACTTTCTTATTTAATTTTTTCCCTCCAAATGCAAGAATGATGTCATATTTTTTTTTCCTTTTTAAGTTACCCAATTTAACATTGCTTTGAAAATTAAATTTCATTTGAATTTTTAAATTTTGGGTTTTCTAACACATATTATGCTATTTAGATATTTATGAGTTGTTAACAATAGTTAATAATATAATTTAATTGAAATTTCCTAATTAAATATGAAAATTATGCACTTTTGGGAATTGTACATTCATATTTAATTAAAAGTTAATTAGGAACATGGAGGAAGTATTTATTTTCTTTCAATATGTGTTAAAAGTCTATAATTCAATTCTTATTATAAAACCGTGCATCGCACGGGGTTAACCTAGTTAATACTAAAATAATTACACATCACCACTGTTACATGTGTCACCTTCTTATAAAATTTTTTCCCTAATAAGATATTTGTGACATCATTCTCTCTCTTTTTTTTTTCCTTTTCAAAATAAAGCTAATATTTAAAAATTATTGATTAAATATACATTTTTCTAAAAGCTTTTATAACTAAAATGGCTAATTACACAATTTATAAGTGATAGTAGAGCTTGGATTATTGTTCCCTCTTTATGAATTCTTCAAATTTTCTATAATGAATCAAAAACATATGCTAACATTTTAAAAAATTTATTATAATTATGAAGTTAATTAGAATATTTTTTCGGTTTTTTCACCAAATGCCCTTGAACTTTTCAAAAATTCACCAAATACCCTCAAGTTTTTCAAAATTCACCAAATGCCACTAACGTTTGTTAATATTCACACCGTGACCTCAAAATACTCTTGACGTTAAAGTTCCGTTAGCAATAAAATTTAATTCACCAAATGCCCTAACGTTGTTAAATAATTACACAAAATACCCTTATTTTTGGAAGTACAAGTGTACAACGTCTAGTTTGAAATTTAAGGAAACAAGCCGTTAGTTTTGATTTTCACCCTTTATTTGCATAAATACTCGATACATAGCATCCTCTTATTTGCTTAACCACAATTTTTTAACTCCTTGAGAAATCAATCTAAATCATCCTCCTCAATGTATGAGAATTTTTGTGTAAGAGTTACAAACAAAACTTGCTGTAGTAGGAGAAAATTTGCAGTAAGAACTTATGAGTCCGCTAGCTAGTCCGCGGACAAGCCCAGACTGTTTACTAGGGTGGGTATAGACTAGTTGTCAAGCCGTATAAAAGGGACTTGAGTTTGCTATATCAAGTCCGTTGGACAAAATATGAACTATAGCCCGATCCGTTTTCCGTCCAAGCCCGTAAGTAATCACCTCTATTTTATTTGGCCCTCTTTTTCTCTATTTGCGAGGTCTCCGACACTTCTTTTAATTTATGAATAGAGAATGTTTGCAACTCTTACACAAAAGTACTCATACATTGAGGAAGATTATTTAGATTGATAACTCATGGTGTTAAAAATTTGTGGTTAAGCAAATAAGAGAGATGCTATGTATCGAGTATTTATGCAAAAAAAGGGTGAAAATCAAAACTAACGGCTAGTTTCTTTAAATTTTAAACTAGACATTGTACTTCAAAAAATAAGGGTATTTTGTGTAATTATTTAACAAAGATAGGGCATTTAGTAAATTAAATTTTATTGCTGACGGAACTTTAACACCAGAGGTTACAGTGTGAATATTAAAAAACGTCAGTGGCATTTGGTGAATTTTGAAAAACTTATGGGTATTTGGTGAATTTTTGAAAAGTTCAAGGGCATTTGGTGAAAAAACCGATATTTTTTTATCTTAGTTAATCTAACTAAAGGGATCGATCACGATTTCTTATGTTGTTTAAAATATTTATATTACACACATACAAATAAGTTTTTAATTATTTAAACCATGTATTGCACGGGATTTACCTAGTTAAACAATTTAATTAGATCAAATTAGAATAAAACCCTCAATTTTCACATTTACCAACTTGTCTTATATGACAGTGTTTTAAAAATTGGCTGTTAGTAGAGAATCTAAATAGATCATTCTAGACCTTACGCCTTACACCATCAAATTGGCTAATTTGCACCCACAAAAAACCCCAATTCAACACTAACAAAACCATAAAATTCATAATTGTGGACTAAATTTAAACCCACCCATTTTATGATTCGCGCAATTTGCCAACAACTGATAACTAAAATTTTCATCCACAAACCAAATTACAAGTTTACAACCCTCAAACTAATTCTTCCTCTTTTTCTCTGCTATATATAAATCCAGCTTTCTTCTGGGTTTTTGCAGCAATTTCTCAAAGTGTTCATCTTTCAAGTTTTAAGCTCTGCTTAGTTCAACAATGGCTTCTTCTTCAACCATTTATTTCTTAGCTGTTACAACAACTACACCTGTCTCAAATGGGTTAAGAAATGGCCTACTTTCCCATGTCAAGAATTCAAGAGTTATGCTCAATGGCTTGAGAATGGAGGAGAGAGAAAATGAAGGGGTTTTTGCTGCTTCAATGGCGGTAAGAGTGAAATCAAGATTTGGGTCTCTTAGAGGAGGTGGTGGTGCTGTTTTGGAACGACCCAGTTTTGATCAGTCTCAATTTGACCCTTCAACCCAAGTTGAAGAAGGTAGTCTTTTCAATTCTTGTTTGTGTTTCTTGATTTTTGCAATTTTTAAAAATTTGTACTCAATTGTTATTTGTATGGTTTAATTCAAATGGGATTGTTTGTATTAACTGTTAGACTGTCTGATACAAGAATTTGAGGTTTGGTTGAGTTCGGGTTTGTAGAATTTAGGTTTGGTTATTACAACTGAACTTGTTAGAGTGAAATTCTGATTTTAGGGATATGAAATGAATGGTTAAATACTTAAATATAACTGAAATTTCAATTGGTATGCTGATAAAATTACAAGTAATCTAATGTCTTGAATCTTGAAGTGTTGCTTTAGGAGCAGATGTCCTATCATTCATACAAATTATTTACTGTTTGGAATATTGAATGCTTTTGACATAGCGTTTTTGGTTCTTGCAATTGTTTTATGTGTATTCAGTTTATTGTGTTTATTTTGTTGCAATGATATTTGTGTAATATAATCCAGTTGGGTTTCTTTGTGTGACTATCATACTGTTTTGTGCAAGAACTAGAGAAGTAAGGTTACCAGGTTTGTTTGAGTTTGGGTTTGTCAAAGTTAGGTTAGGTTATTACTACTTGTGTGACTATCAGACTGTGTTGTGCAAGAAATAATGAAATAAGGTCACCAGGTTTGTTTGAATTCGGGTTTGTCGAAGTTAAATTAGGTTATTACTACTAATGAGCTTGTTAGAGTGGAAAGAATGATGGAATGAATGGTTAAATTTTACTGATCTTTCAATTGGTATGCTGCTTAAATTTTAAGGAATCTATTGTCTTGAATCATGAAGTGTTGCTATAGGAGCAGATATCCTACCAGCTTACTAGTTATATGCTTTTTGCATATATGTTGCCATGTTGGCGTAGCGTTCTTGGTGAATACTGAATAGCTTGTTAAATTTTTGTAGGAGGAGACATTGGAAGGGTAAAGGATAAGAAAGGTACTGGAAGTGGAGACAGTTACAGGGTTTTGCTGCTTGATGATGAGCGCCACACAGAAAAGCTTGGTGAGTGAAAGTTACATACATCTTTGAGTGCAAGAGAAGTTATGATGATTGTCATTTTTGATATTTTTGGTTCTAATATGTCTTTTATGTTTAGTTTTGAAGGTATTACCCCAGGCTGTTCCATCAGTTACTCCAGACGATGCAAGAAGAATCTTCAGTGAATCACGACAAAATGGTGTAGCAGTGGTTATTGTGGCTGTGAAGGTATGTTAATATCTGTCTTTTGCTCCTAATGCTTCTGTTCAACATAAGATATTAATGTCACTATGTCAGTGAGTCATGTGTCCTTAGCTTTGTTATATGATACTCCATACTCGAAATTTGTTGGGCTGCTCATATTTGGGACCAAATTGTACCCCATACTTGAATTGTATTATACAAGTTCTTTTGGATGATAGCATGCCTTTCTCTGCTTCTCCAGAAAACTTGAACTAGCACAGTAGTTTGGAAATCAGATAGGTTGATCCTGTCTTCTGAACTGAACACCTTTGGTCTTTGGTTCAGATAAGTATTAAGCCCAGTTAAACAAATCAGAGTCCCTTTTTAAGTTATTATTGCAATATCAATAATATGTTTAGCCGAAGCAACTTTGTGGGAATAAGAGCTTTTTAAAGTCCTCTGAGGCATTGACCTTCTTACATAGACAATCAGAACATTAGACTGTGCATTACACTTGCCTTACATTGATCAGCTTATAAGTGTTCTTTATTGATACAGGGAATCCATTTGATATGAAATGAAATAAAAAAGGAATAGCTAAAGAAACAAATGAATTTTCACCATTTGATTTCAGCAAAGCCTTCTATGAGTATATGAAGGAGTGTGTTGTAGTATCTTCCTCTTTAAGTAATGCTCAATTTGAAATTGAAGGAAATGTTGTCACACCTTTAATAAATACTCTGAGTGTAGTTCGATCTGGACTATAACGAAACATGATAAAATTGCAATGGTACTGGGAGAATTATGAGTTACTTGGGCAGTTGAAGACTACAATTTCTTACTACAATGAATTACTTAGAGAAAACCTAGTCCATAAGTTAAAAATTATCTGAGGTTTCGAATTTAGGAATCAAGATTGTTCATTTTTGTAGCTAATAAAATGAGTACTGAAAAACCCTTGCTTGAAAGGCCACTTCTCTTTTATATTGTTCTGTCAAAATTAGTGTGCCAGAGTTGTGATCTGAAGTTTTCCATAGTCTGTATTTAGCTGTAAAAATGACTGTTCAAAATTTTAAAATTTTATGATATTCAAGTCTTCTAGAAGCCAATGGTTATAGTGTTGTATAATGTATCCGATGCCTTCCTAAAATGACTTCTGGCATTAGCCAAAGAAAGTGAAAACCAACCAATTTCTTGGGTACACGAATGTTAAGCATAAGAATTTCAGTTATATTTGACTGAAGTTAACGCACAGAAGACATTTGGATGCAAAGGGTAGACTTTAGATTCCCATTTGTGGTATTAAGGGAAATGAACTCTTGATACAGATGCTGCATTTATATTTTCTTTCACACGTCCAACAATTTAGCAATTGATTAAGGCAGTTAGCTGAAAAAATTAGACATAGATTTTCAATGATGTAGCAGATGTTAAAACTTAGTCAAATTATAAAACCACCAACCATCTTTAATGATCTAAGTGCCAATTTGATACCATTTAGATTCTGCTTATTACTTTTTCTTGCTTTTGGGAGGGTGGTGGGTGGATTGTGCATTAGCCAGCTATTCCCTTATTGCCTGAACTGTCTCGTCTGTCTGTGTTGTGTATAACAATTGAGTTGAATCAGTTGATTACATATTAACACACTTGTTTTGGTTGGCAGGAGCATGCTGAATTTTACTCTCAAATGATGATCCGAGGAGGTCTACGATCATCTATTGAACCAGAATCAAATACTGTATGAACTTAACTGGGAGTGCTCGGAATTTTTGTAGTGGCTCATATCCGAGTGTATAGGAATGTAGAATTCATAAGTATAGCATATTTTTTGTAGCATATTATCCTTGTCACCTAGCAAGATATTTGTTGCTAATATTGACTTCAATATTGATAGTTGTGAAACTTTATGAAGAAATTTTTTGCTCTTGCTAGTGACAATCTTGTATGAGACACAGTTTTAAATCAAGTTAATGTGGGACATAGTGGTTTTTATGTTATAAAGGTGACGTCTTATTATATCTTTTTTCATCTTTTAGGAGTTTAGGGAATAGTAACTTCTTGATGTCTTATAATTGAATACTGTTAAGAACTTAGTATGTGATGATCTCGCCAAAGACTTGCACCGACAACGTAGATATGCTTAATTTTGCTACATTGATGTCCATGCATTGGATTGTTTTTTGATCTTGGTTGGTTTCAGAATGACTTACAATAGAAATATCCTTGTCAAAATCGAACTAAGCTATGAGTCTTATTGGAATCTTAGCTGCTGTAGTTTGTTATTATACATCTAATTTACTATGGGTGGCTGTAGTACTTTTTTTGTTTGCTGTGTGAACGAGAGTACGAGACCCTAACTTCACAAGTCGGTATCATTCAGCTAACTAGCCAGATAAGTGAAGACAGGAGGGTAAATGAGAACAGGGCTCAGAAAATGGGAAATATATGTTAGGCAAAACTGTACAAGAATAGATCAATAAAAGGAATAAATATTTGATGATAATGACCTTTATTTAGTGGACTCTTTTCCCCCTTGAAAGAAGTCATATTCCGTTCATAAAGTATTACGAAGTAGCTTAAACCTGTTCGACAACAAATTTTCAAGTAACTTCTACAATTCTGTGTTGGTAAATTGTCTATTATAGGTGAAAACTAGTGTTTGATGGAGTATTATTCCGACTTTAGGGGTCAAATATTTTATCTTGTATGTAGCTTTTGAGATAGATCTGGTTTTCTACCATATTAATAATAGTGAGTTTAAGATTTCTATGATTTTCAGACATGCTCTGGTACGACGAGCTTCTGTAGGCGATTTTACAGAGAATCTAGTTTGGTTTGGTATTTTATCTTGTTTTCTTTGGTTTAAACACGATCAAATGATGGTGCAATACCCTGACTTCTAGGTCTAAGTATTTAGTAGAGCATGATAAGTTACTTTTCCAACAAAAATAGAACACTGACATGTTAGTGAGCACAAATTAGTTTTGGCAGTATAAGAAAAATAGAACAAGGGTCAAAGGTTATGTTATAATGACAAAATTTTCCACTGAAGCTGACTATTCAGAATTCAGAATTACCATAAAATCTTTAGTTGTTATCATCTGCAGAATGTATATGCTGAATTCTATTTCAGCATTTTTTAAAATATATGTGAGACTGAATGAATAAAGAAACAAAAACGAGACGTCCGAAATGGGACTTGTTTTGAATTTATGATCCATATGTAAGGCACTTGTAGGCTTGTAGCAAATTCATTAGCTTTATTTTGCTGACTTTTTGGTGTTGTCTTGTAGTAGTTGGACTAGGAAAGTTAGCAGTCATTTCTTGCTCTTTACTCATCTTTCTTCTCTTATAATGGAGGAAAACCTTTCAGTCAATACTTTCTGAAGGCTATCAGTAACTTAACTATGGTGAGTTATCGCCTCATCTTTGTTTTATGGTTATTATCATCTATGTGTTCTCAACTGTTTATCTCATATTCGCTTGATTTAATCAATTCAACCCATCCTTTGAAAGATGGAGACACATTGGTTTCGGCAGGTGGAAATTTTGAGCTGGGATTCTTCACCCCTGATAATTCTGATAGAAGGTACCTTGGAATCTGGTACAAGAAAATTCCTGTGCAAACTGTGGTTTGGGTAGCCAATCGGGAGGTGCCACTCAAGACTCTTGTGAGTTCTTCAGCAGCCATGCTTAGACTCACTAGCAGGTCAGTCCTTGAGCTTATCAATGGCACAGGTGTTGTTGTTTGGGAAACCAACCTGACAAGAACTGTGAAGAATCCGGTTGCTGAGCTTTTAGACTCCGGGAATCTTGTCATAAAGGATATGGATGGTGATCATAAAAATGGTGATGGTTTTTTATGGCAGAGCTTTGATTTTCCATGTGACATCCAGTTGCCTGGGATGAAGCTGGGAAAGGACTGGGTTACAGGGCTTGATCGGTACCTTACTTCCTGGAGAAGTAGCGATGATCCTTCACTGGGAAGCTATACATATCGTCTTGATTATCATGGCTACCCGCAACCAGTTCTGATGAAAGGCCATATGGAGCAGTATAGGAATGGACCATGGAACGGAGTAAGGTTCAGTGGTAATCCTAGTCTGAAGCCTAACCCTTACTTCACCTTTGACTTTGTCATGAATTCTAAGGAAACATATTATGTTTATGAACTTCTCAATAGCTCGGTCATTTCTCATAGGATCTTGAACCCCTATGGGACCATGCAAAGGCTTGTTTGGAGTGATCATGTACAAGGATGGGTAATGTACTTGACCGCGCAGTCTGATAATTGTGATACATATTCTCTGTGTGGTAAGTTTGGAAGTTGTAACATAGCCAACTCTCCTGAATGTGGGTGTTTGAAAGGTTTCAGTCCAAAATCACCTAATGATTGGAATTCTGGGGGATGGTCAGATGGGTGTATGAGGAAGACCCCTTTGAGCTGTAATGGAGGAGATGGCTTTGTCAAGTATACCAACGTCAAGCTGCCTGACACTCAATATTCCTGGTATAACACGAGCATGAACCTTGATGAATGCAGGAACAAGTGTTTGTCGAATTGCTCCTGTGTAGCTTATGCTAATTTGGATGTAAGGGCAGGGGGAAGTGGGTGTTTGATTTGGATTGATGTCCTGACCGATCTTAAGATTTACCCCGAAAATGGGCAGGATCTCTTTGTGAAGCTAAATGCTTCTGATATAGGTAAGACCTTTATCACAATATGTAGTGTGAGAAACTGTTTGGTCTATAGGTTAACTATTTGTAAGAGCTCATTATATGGTTGCCTGTTAAGATTGGACATATTTTTTTAACTATGTCATTGACAGGAAAGGGAAAAAGGCGAATCTGGATAGTATTAAGCTCAAGTATTGCTGTTATAATACTCCTGATTTTGTGCACAACACTCCTTTTATGGAAGAAAAGGAAATTCAGAAGAAAAGGTAGCTGTCTGTTTGTCAGTTGCTATGTAGTACTTGATGTCTAGACTTGTGCAGTTGTGCTCTCATTATTTCTAGATTGAGAAGGGAAATATTAACTTGAATCTTAAGGTGTAGCAGACTAGCAGTAGTAGTTCAATTGTCAAATTAATTATGCAGTATAGTAGTATACGAAGTAGTTTATATTTGGCATTTCCACTATGTAGCAGGAGGAGCTAGAGAAAGTTACATTGTCAATGATGGAGAGAACGCAGAACCGGAGTTGCCATTGTTTGACATCAGTGTTATTGCTGAGGCTACCAATAATTTCTCATATACAAATAGGCTTGGTGAAGGCGGCTTTGGCCCTGTGTACAAGGTATGAGAGGCTTCTAATCTGCATATATGTCTACAGTTGTCGAATTGTCATTGTTTGAATAGTTTGTTTCTAACAAGGAGTTAATGAGATTCTGATGTTTCTATTTGACATTGGATGAATTGAACAAAAAAGAGAAGGATAAAAAAAAGGCTATAAATATTTTTTGTGAAAACTATATGAACATTAAATTAATAGAAGAAATGAAAAGATATTTTCAGTTTGTTTGGGAAAATATTTTTGATTTTTTACAGCAATACCCAGGGTATGCTGAAATCAGGAAAAGAGATAGCAGTGAAGAGGCTCTCTAAAGAATCAAGGCAAGGACTAGATGAGTTCAAGAATGAAGTTATATGCATTGCAAAGCTGCAGCATAGAAACCTTGTAAAACTCTTGGGATGTTGCATTGAAGGAGAAGAACGGATGCTAGTGTACGAATACATGAGCAACAAGAGTTTGGACTTGTTCATCTTTGGTTAGACTCGCTCTCAACTTTCCATCTTGGTTTCAGTATTTCAACATTTTTTCATTTCTTACTTTACTAAGGAAAGAAGATTGACTGTTCAGATGATATGAGAAGTAAGTCTCTGGAGTGGCCCAAGCGCTTTCAGATTATTAAAGGGATAGCTCGCGGTCTTCTTTATTTGCATCAGGATTCAAGGTTAAGAATTGTTCACAGAGACCTCAAGGCCAGCAATATCCTGCTAGACTCAGAAATGAACCCGAAAATTTCTGATTTTGGTATGGCTCGGAGTTTTGAAGGAAATGAGTGTGAAGCAAAGACCAACAAAGTAGTTGGAACCTAGTAAGCTTCTCCCACCACTTGAATTGTGTGTGTAAACTCTCTTTTCATTCTACATTCCATGTATAAGCTAACATTATATTTTGTTTCTTTTCTGTTCTTCTAGTGGATACATGTCTCCAGAATATGCAATAGACGGGCTCTTTTCTGTAAAATCCGATGTGTACAGCTTCGGAGTACTAGTGCTAGAAATCATCAGTAGTAAGAGAAACAGAGGATTCAACCATCCAGACCACCACCATAACCTCCTTGGACATGTAAGAAAGTCTTTGCACCTTTCTCTTTTCTTAATGCTTGCATCAATCTAAATTCGAGCCAAACACAGTCTTGCATTGGTTCATTCGTTAGTAGTTTTGGTCCAATATCAAGACTAAAATCAATCGAAAAATCCAAACATGAATAGAAGAAATGGTCTAAAAGTAACTACAGATTGTTTGATACTTCAAACCTGGATCAGACAGATAATAATCACCCCTTTTTTCGGTCTAGTTCTGAAGCTAACCTTTGACAATATTGTTTAGGCATGGAGACTTCACAATGAAGGTTTGGCTTCGGAACTTGTTGATACATCAATAGGGGGCTCCTGCAATACATCTGAAGTACTGAGATCAATACACATAAGCTTGCTGTGCGTGCAGCAAAGCCCTGATGATCGCCCCAGCATGCCGTCTGTTATAGTAATGTTAGATAGCGATGTTGCATTGCCTCAACCAAAGAAGCCCGGGTTTTTCATAGGGAGGGAGTTCCTGGACAAAGAATATTTATCTAGTGCTACAATATCTGGATCACATTGCAGCAATGAGATGAGTATAACTGCAGTATCTGGCAGATAGCATTCTTTATACTGTTAGTATATGCTAATAATTAAGTAATATAGTAAAATGTTGATCTTTATTAGCTGGGTCTTGTTTATGACATACTTTGCATAATAATTGTAAATATTCAAGCACATAAATTTTTAAAGTTCAATGGTGTAGTTTTCAGAAAAGTTCGACTCACTTTTATATTATTCTATTTTGTCAACTCGTACGTACTTTTAATTGTCCGGACAATATGAATCATGTCGATGATATTACTCATAGTAATTATGGGATTAAATATTTTTTTTTTTTTTGGTGTTCTACCCGGTTCACCCTGTGGGCTAATCCGGATTCGGGGATCAGTTCTGGGATTAAATATTTTGATGGCTGAATGATATTATTTAGCTGAATGATATGATCAATTATTAGGATGATAGCATTAATTATCTATGCTTATGTCATTAAATTGCTTTCTTATCATCTTATGTGTCACAATAATACCTATTTGTCGTCTACGTGACGCGACACTTGGCAAATAATTAAAATGCCAAGTGTTACTGTCTCACAACTAGGTCACGAGTAGAAAGAACTTTGTATAAAAAAATAAAATAAATAAATAAATAAATAAAAACACAACATGGAAGGAAATAAAATAGAAAGAAAAACTAAATCTAAAAATTATAAACTTGGTACTATTCTTTATGAATTGAGATTCTAATTATACAATGGAATTTAACAGCAAATATTTTGCATCCTCCAATGATCTACTTTGTAATGAGCATAGCCATGTTAATGAGCCTTCTTGTGGGAGCTTTTGTGTGCGGGCGTAGATTTGGGGTCGGGCACATGTGTAGGTTGGTCGATGCATACCTTAATGCAATCTTTCTTACATTTTTCTTCATCTTCAAAAGATTAATCATGGTTAAGAAGCACCAAAAAAATAGTTAAGAAGGGAATAACCCGATTTGAGTATATATATATATACTTTATTTTCTCCATCTCAAACTAGTTTACCCGACTTGACTTTTAACTAACATAATTCATAAACTCAATTTTGACTAGCTTTTGTGATATACATATAAGAAAAAACATAACCACATGTAGGATTTTGTCAGATGTCTTTCAATGTGTACTCCGTATTTTAAAATATCACCATTTTTTTTTTACAAATTTCTTATTTAATTATACGGTTTTTTCACCAAATGCCCTTGAACTTTTCAAAAATTCACCAAATACCATCAAGTTTTTCAAAATTCACCAAATGCCACTGACGTTTTTTAATATTCACACTGTGACCTCTGGCGTTAAAGTTTCGTTAGCAATAAAATTTAATTCACCAAATGTCTTATCTTTGTTAAATAATTACACAAAATACCCTTATTTTGGAAGTACAATGTCTAATTTGAAATTTAAGGAAACTAGCCGTTAGTTTTAATTTTCACCCTTTTTTGCATAAATACTCGATACACATCATCTCTCTTATTTGCTTAACCACAAATTTTTAACACCATGAATTATCAATCTAAATAATCCTCCTCAATGTATGAGTACTTTTGTACGTGTAAGAGTTGCAAACATCCTCTATTCATAAAAAGAAGTGTCGGAAACCTCACAAACAGAAAAAAAGAGGGTCAAATGAAATAAAGGTGATTACTAACGGGCTTAGACGGAAAACAGATCGGGCTATAGTTCATATTTTGTCCAACAAACTTAATGTAACAAACTCAAGCCCCTTATATGCGGCTTGACAATTAGTCTATACTCACCCTAGTAAACAGTCTGGGCTTGTCCGCGGACTAGATAGCAGACTCAGAAGTTTTTACTGCATATTTTCTCTTACTACAACAAGATTTGTTTGCAACTTTTATACAAAAGTTCTCATACATTGAGGAGGATGATTTAGATTGAATTCTCAAGGAGTTAAAAATTTGTATTTAAGCAAATAAGAGGATGCTATGTATCGAGTATTTATGCAAATAAAGGGTGAAAATCAAAATTAACGGCTTGTTTCCTTAAATTTCAAACTAGACTTGTACACTTGTACTTCAAAAAATAAGGGTATTTTGTAATTAATTAATAAAGTTAGGGCATTTGGTGAATTTAATTTTATTACTAATGAAACTTTAACGTCAGGGGTATTTAATTTAAGGTCACGGTGTGAATATTAACAAACGTCAGTGGCATTTGGTGAATTTTGAAAAACTTGAGGGTATTTGATGAATTTTTGAAAAGTTCAAGGGCATTTGGTGAAAAAACGTTAATTATAATTAGAGGTATTTCATTCCGATTGAATTTTATGCATTGAAAAATTAATACGAGTAATAAAAAAACACATGTTAGCTAATTTGGAACAAAGAAAATAGATGTCACTATTAAATAAAATTGGTCGTAGTAAATTAAACATAAACGTACCCTTTTTTTCGCATATTTGAGACATAGTTTGGTGACAACCATACATACAAAATAAGCTTTTGTAAGCTGCTAGCATTTCATATTTAGTCTCATTCTTCTTGAATTTGCTAGCTCCATTTAATGATTTTTTGATGCATTCTACACGACATGCATCTTCATCTCCATTAGTTTTGCATTTGTTTGCGCATTTATCTAGCTTATTGATTTCTTGGATGGTTTCAGCCTTCAACTGCTTATCCGCTCCTAAAATTGTATCTATATTTGCTATGACATTGTTGATGTGTGTGACAATTACAAGAACAAAAAAGAAAATCGTCGCGATTTTAAGTCCTTCCATTTATTTATATAATGAAAAAAAAAACTAAAAATTTGATGGAAAATTTTAGTTGTATTAGTTAAATCTAAATGGTTGAGAAATGAGATTATATATAACAATAGTATTTCATAGTCTTATATATAGATTTTTGCATTGTTTATTTATGGCATTTGAAATTGTGAGCTAGCATAACTTTCTCCTTCATTATGGTCTCATATAGCACTTGCTATATTGCTAACAATTGGTGCAATTATTTTTTAAGGCTTAATGGATGGAAGGAATAAATTGGTTTGCCTTTTATGTTTATTAGGTAGCATAATAAAAATTATACAAGTATGTCTCACATTTCTCATAATGGTTTGGATTAAGGAGAAAATATAAGTTTATCACATTGATAAATTAATTTTATTCAAAGTTATAGGTTAATCAACAATTTTATATTAAATATGGGTCCCACAATTGTAAATATAGTAATTATAATAATGTTATGCTGACTAGACATTGTTGTTTATTTATTTACGATTTTGTCACTTGATAAACGAATTTTGTTTATCAACAAGATAAATTAGGGATCCTTATGGATGAACTATGCATCATCTTAGGGCCTATTCTCATAGACTGAACTGAACTGAATTGAGCTGAACTAAATATTTTATAAGAGAAGGAAATTAGGAGCTGAACTGAGCTGAGCTGAACGAACTGAAAATAAACGTATGAGAACAGGCACTTGCAATAGTTTGGAATTCTGATTGACTCTTACAATTTGTTCGGATCCTTAGGAAGGAAATTGATACAAACATTGATTTTGATCGAGAGCATGTTCAAATACTACTTTGATTAAGAACATTTGAAATAGGGAGGAAGAGGAAGAGAAAGATGAACAATGTTTTACAAGTAACTCCATTTTGATACCCGTGATTTAAATTCAAATTATTCATTCTGCTTTATTTTTTGTGGATTAACTGTATAATAAACGACATACCCTAATATGAGTGTCTGGCTCTCATATACAAAGTACTCCCTAGATAACTTGTACAATTACGAGAATACCCTACATTATGGTTTGAAAAAAGTGGACTAAAGGAGTCAAAGATAGTGGACTAAACATGGACCAAAAGAGTCTAACATAGATACAGCACAAAAAAGCACTAAGATGATGAAAACAAATCTTAGGGCAAAATTAAAGTAAGATTCACAATCCTTAATACTACTACAAACAAACAAACAACAATGAACACTAAAATTAATTTAATTTTTGATATTGGATTGTGGGGTTCCATATACTCGAACCAATCAAACCAACTTGGCGCGTAATTTCCAATTAAAAATTAGAAAAAAATCAAAAACAAAATTATGGAAGAAATTAGTAATGAATTACCCAGATCCAAATCCTCTAAAAGATACCCTTTTCTTTTGTACTGTTCTTGTAAATTACAACAATCATCATCATTTCCCCCACCTTTTTTTTTCTTTTTGTTTTTTTTTTCTTTCCTCTGCCAGGCGCTTTGTTTTTGTCTAATTTTGCTGAAGAAATTTTGGGAAAGTTTGAATCTTTTTGTTTTTTTAGGATTGTTTTGAGAAGGGGTGATGGAAACTTCTGGAATTGAGCTCATAGAATCTGATGCTGTTCTTGTTAATCATCAGGTAATTTGATATGCCCCCTTTTGTTTATTTCTGTTTAAACTGTAAAAATTTGATAGTAGTAGTAAATTAGTAATACTATGTGTGAAGTATATGTTTTCTCAATTTTAGAACTAATTCACGTATAAATTTCGGGTTTTCGTTGTTGTTTCGAATTAGCGGTTTTATGGTTCATGTGTGTGGGATTGATCAATAATGAATAGATTTTTTTTTTTTTTTTTTTTTTTTTTTTGAGAGGTGGGGATCAACTAGTTTTGAGCATTTTTCAATGTTGCATAAAATTACCACCTTTTCAGGCCTATGTTTTCTTGGGTTTTCAGGAAAATGCAGTAACTAAAATCTAGCTGCAAATCACTCTTGTACATGAATAGTTATAATTCGGATCATACAGAGAAGCTACTTTCAAAAGCTTAATCTTCTGGGGGTAATATCCCAAGAAATGGTTTTACAGTCTGGGTTTCAATTAAGGACAATCCATCTCCATCCTCGTGCTTCTCGGGGAGTGGTGTTTGTTAGGCTAAGTGGCAACTGTGGACATGTTAGGTTACCTTGCTTTGCTGCTTGGTGGAACTTACTGTATAGAGAGTATAAGATTAAGGATGGTATTGGAAACTTGTTTAGCTACGGGGTAATCCAAGCAACACATGTGAATGTCGCACATTGATTAAAGAAGAAAGAGTTTAACTACTTAGGACTACACCCTATTGCCAATGGTTTTAAGGTGGAACCTCCTTTTGACTTTGCGAAGTGGACTCTCTGTTGATGAGCCCCATACTTAACAGACGGAGATTCAGTTGTAAAAATGCACTTGTATGGCCAATCTGGTGTGGTTATGAAGTCATTGGGATGGAATTACTGAATGAGGTTATAGGAATGAAATATGCCAATTAGCCGGGGTGACATTAATGTAAGGAAAATGTTTCAGCCCTCAGAATTTAACAACTTGAGTGAGTATTCCTCATTGGTACAATATGACATCTCAAAAGACAGGAGGTTTCTTGAGGGTAACTAATTTATTGATGAATTAAGTGATACCTGCAGGAGTTATTGGGGGAGGCCAGTTGTACTAGTCTCAATGGCAATGACCTCTATGCGGCGTGATTAATCCTCATACTCCTTAATTTGGGACTTAGGAGTGGTTAGCTGCAGCTTATGATAATACCTGATGACTTGCATGTTTAATTCTCTTCTACTGGTAACTCTTGGCCTCTCCAGCATTATATAATTAAGCATTTGGAGTCTATTGCAAAATTCTAACCTTTTAAATTCTGCCATCCTCAACTAAGTTGTTAGAGTGTGCTTGCTACTTCAGCATTAGCTTTGTTAACAATTTTTAGGACTACTGTATGCTCTTATAAGCTATAGCTGTCAGTTTTCGCATTGCTGAATTGTGTTATGATATATTTCTGTCATCTGCTCAGGGTGAACACATTGATAAGAGCTCTTTAGCTCGTCAATCAAGACGTCCAAACCTATCTCATCTGCAAATTCCAGCTAGGTCTCTAGAGAATGTGCTCTCTAATATGAAAAACACAGATATTCTTACCTTTTCGAGTCCCTCTTCCACCAGAGCAGGATTGCCACCAAGACCTTGCTCAACCGGGATCAAATCATCTGTGAGAAACATGCTTCCACAGAGAAGCCTCTGCTCTAAGACTTGCTCTCAGGATGGTGAAAAGACATTCCTAATTTTCTCAAACATACCAAAGTCTGACACTACTATGGACAAGCCTTCTACTTCAAGGTCATTCTCTCTAAACAAGGTTTTTTTCTTCTCCTTCAACCAAGAGAGCATGTTCATTACCAGTTACGCCCATTGCAAATTCAGGTCCCCAGTCTGGGCAGGAAAGGGATGTATATCCTGTCAACCATCTTAGTGACTCAGTGAGTGCTACATTCTTGGTTTTTATTTACTTATTTTTAGTTAATTTGAGCTTGGACCATATTGTTTCAGTTACTATGTTGTATTCATATGAGAACTAGTCTGTCGACCTATGTTGTTGAGTATGTGATTTATTTTCATCCAGACCCAAGAAGCACAGCTGCCAATGAAACGCTCATTTTCTGTTCCAGTTAATGTAAAAAATGCAAGCTTAAAAAGAGTGGGTTCTACAGGAGGTGTAATCCGTGTTGTTCCAGTGACACCTCATCAAGTGGAAGTTGATACTTCTTTGCCAAATGATGCTGCAACTGGAGAAAGTGGTATGTGCATGGTAGTTTAAGCTTGAAAACTTTTCACTAATCATGCTACTTTGACACAGTATGGGTGAAAACTATTTTGCCTTCTACCTTTCCGTGCTATGAAAATCAGAACTGTAGAAGGATTATATTGGGTTAAAATTTGTTTTATAAATGATGGATATACTACTTATAAATCTGAATTGTAGTCTAGTTTAAAGAGGTATGTTCTGCTGTTCAATCTTTTACTGTTATTTTCGATAAAGCATACTTTATTAGTCCATTTCATAACTGATGGATCTACTACTCATACAGTTCTACCACTTTTCCAAGTAATGACTGGGTCAATTAATTGGACCTAGAATGGCTTAAAAAGTGCATTTTTCCAATTCGTTTCCATTTCCTTGTCATTTCGTTCTGTTTCTTTGTTCATAATGTATATTTTATAACCAAACAATGGGATGTAGAATTTATATGTCACAGCACTTGTTGACTCAGTGATTATTATCCTAAAAGTTGCTATTTTGACACATAGTTCGAACACTTTTTTACTTAGAGGCGTACAAAGAGTACAAGGACCATAAAAATAACAGCTTTAGCAATTCAATATGCTAATAATTGTTTTGCCAGTTTCTTTCCTCACGTTTGATTGTGTGTCCGAGGATTTGGGTTGTGGAATTAATGCTCACCAAGGAATTCTTTTTTTGAGGAAAACTCACCAAGGAATTCTTGATGTAATGTCATGTTAACATTTTGTCCAGGTAACTAGTATATGAAAATGTTTTAGTTCGCCTCCTGTGCAAAAATGCATTTTTAGACTTAGAACTGTGTTCGCATTACCTAAATGTATACAAAATCAGTGTTTGCATTACATTAATTAGGAATAATACACTTCTTTGGTCTTCAGTGCTTCACAAACAAAATGAACATTGTCAACCAACATTGTCAACTTCCCAAAGTAGTTCACTTTTTATTCTCAGTTATATCCACTACCCAATAGTTTTTATACCTGATCTGTCCAATATCAATTGTCAGATATATTTCCTCTGTTCTTTTATAGTTGCAACTCTTGCAACATATCTTTTTGGTGGTCAAACTTTGCAAACTTTGATCGAGTGTGTGTGTGTGTGTGTGTGTTTTTACTAACGTAATAAATTCTATGTAGAACTTTGTTTGATTTGTTTCAATGTGTATTTCCAAATTATTATTAACTTTTCATAATTTTCAGTTTTTTACTTAATCATAATTAAGATTTTAATGGTCTAAAGTTTGCTTT